AAATCCTGAGGCGTTTGAAACATCTCCCCTCTATCACACCACGGCTGCTTCACACAGCAAGAAAGAGGACGAGGGCCATTAATAATGAAAGACTATTGAAAATAAATGTGGACGAGAAATAATCAAAACAGGGATTTGACTTCAGCGTTACTGAACCAAAACATTGCTGGTCAAATCAAGCAGGACTTCCCACAAACAGAAGAAAGAATAATTTAGTATTTATACGTGATTCAGTATTTCTAGCTGTTTTTAGCCATGCTAGCAGTGTGGCTCTAGCGATATCAATGTCTGCCCCTCTAACGGCCAAACACTTTGGTCCAGACATGAGATATCTCAAAAATTCCATAGATTGCCATGAAATTTGGTACAGTCATGCATGTTCCCCAGAGGATGAATCCTAATGACTTTGGGGATCCCTTGACTTGTCCACTAGCGCCACCAGCAGGTCAAAATATCTCGTGAAATATCTCAACGTCACCTTGTTGGATTGGCACCACGTTTTATTTTAGGTTTGGTAAAGCCCTCTAAGGCAAATTTGTGATTTTTGGGCAAAAGATGTATTGGTACAAAAGATGTATTTTCTGTTAATGCTAATTAGCAAATATTAGCATGCCAATGCTTCGATAGTGAACATGGTAAGCATTATACCTGTAGCTCAAAGCGCTGCATGGCTGTAGGCTGTTGGTTGAATTTTAATAGAATTCAAATTAAATTAACACATTTTGAAATGCACTCATGAAGACAAATTCAATCCTCCTGATTTCATTACAGGAAACGGACGGGAACATGATGATGTTCGTAGGCAGTGACTGAGCCAGACTGCCTTTGTAGAGTGTCATTCACGCTGCACTCAGTCACTGACCTTGGCTGTCTGCGACTGCCGACATCTTTACCGCCCTGCTTCTTCATTCTCCCCCTCCCTCCCTCTCTGCTCTTGTCCCCTTCCAGTAATTGCATGTCAAATCAATGTTCCCCTGTGCAGCCAAGCACAAAAACTTTCTTGCCACATTCAGCCCCTGCTCCCTTTGGTTCTCTCCCATACCGCTACACCATCACCGCCACCACCACCCTCTGGTCTATCTTTCCTGCTTTGCCATTGTGTTTCCATGCTCGCATTCATTTCCCTTTCTGTTCTCTTCCTCCATCCCCACCCACATCCACTCCTTGTTCTACTCTCTCCTGTTTTCCCCACATTCTGTTTTCTTTAGCTGCCTCAGCAGTTCTGTCTTCTCTGTCCCTTCCCTACGGAGACGACATCTCACCCTCCTCCCACTCTATTTCAGTCGGTCCATCTCCTTGTGCGTGTTTGTCCTTCCTCGCACTAATGTTCCCTCGTAAATCTTACCGTCTCTCTTAATGAACTTTTTCACTTGGATACAAATAAGAGGCTTCCTCCCTACATGGCCCATTGGTGATGAAGGAATCAACACTGTAGTTTTGCATGTTAGATTAGAGGCAAACTCTGTTTCTCTCCAAACAGCAGGAGGTATCTATTGTTTCTGTGCTTCTGACCACACGGTCCAGCTCTCCAGAATCAGAGAAAGGCTGTTAGGAGCCAGCTCATGAGTGACAGGTATGAATACTGAGAGAGAGAGAGAGAGGGAGGAGAGGGGGATTTCTCATTCATTATCAATGAGAGGTGCTGGGATTGCTTTGAAGATGACTTCATGCAGGGTAATGGTTGTTGTGTGTTATATCTGACTTGATGGAGAATCCATTACACTCTTGCCTGTTCTGTATTATCTCTGGGTTAGTAGGTCATTACTTACATCTGCTATTTATAAGCGACAAAAGCAATGCAAATAATGAACCCTCGGGTGCACACCCATCCCCACACTCCATCTCGATATCTGTTTATTTGTGTTTTAAAAATAATTTAAATTCAGAAAAATAGTGAAGCTTCCACAATTCCCAGTAGGGGGTGGGCGGTGGCGGTATCAGCGGCAGGTGGGGATGGGGGCTGATGCGTCAGACATGAAAGAGATGCGAAGAGTTCAAAGTGTAAAAAAAAAAAAGAAAGCAAAGGCAGGAAGACGCTGAAGGAGTGCAGGGGGGGGGCAAGGTGGAAGGGATGTGAGGGGCATGTGATGATGCAGGAGAAATGTAGAGTACAAGCTTTCAAGGAATTGCCGAGTGAAGGTAAACGACGAGCGAGTCTGGCTCTAGGTTCAGTACTTGTATGTAAACACGCACACAATGAAGGCTCGTGGGAAATTACTAAGTGGTTGATGCATAATTAGTTTTTATCTGAAAGCCCCTTTTAAAGGGCAAATTAACCATGTGTGCTGTACAACAGGTGGAGATGAAAAAGAGGGACGACTAACTCCAGTAACCCACAATATCCTAAACACGTGTGGGGGAAAAATACACAAACTATCTCAGTCTTAATCTGTCCTTATGGGGAGTCTTTCACAAACCCGGTCCATGTGCATTCCCCTCCCCCCCCCCCCCCCCCCCACAACATATTGAATTCCACTTGTTCGGTAATTGATTTTTCTCATCTCTCATACTTTGAAGGCTGAAGCAGTCGCCTCCTCAGTAAATCAATTTATCTGGAGATGGAGTCGACCGACTCCGGCTATGACCCCTGTTGTTTGATATCACGGAGCTAATTCAAATGAGCAAGCAGGGAGTGGTGCAGTAGGCCTATTATAAACTAACAGTGAGAAGATATTGATTTAAAACATTCTTTGAAATGATGGCGATGGAGCTAAGGAACCTCAGCAGCAGTATGACTGTATGAATTTACATACATTATTAATACACTATCAGTGAGAACAAAAGATGAATTGTGGGCAGGCTTTTTTTTTATTGGTGGTGGCAGAAGTCTGTAAAACATGTCACAGGCTACATGGCCTTACAATAATGCCCTCCGCCCTTTCTTTTTTCTGTCACTCCTTTCCTATTAAATGAGATATCCTCTCCATCCTTTTTGTCCTGGGTTCATGTCAGTCACACGCCTGAGAAGTCTGCAGGGGAAAGAGCAGGAACCCGGCAGACGCGTACATATTCCGCACACTAACCTGCACTTCACCTGAGGAAACCGACACATCCCTGACATAAAAAGAAGCTGACACGCCAAGAGGTAACGAGCGGCCTTTCAGGTGATACAATTAACCTGCAGTTTATTTTTTTTATGTTAAACAGAACACACCCCCTCCCCCACCCCACCCCAAGTGGTCGTCAACTTTAACCTCTTATGTGTCGCCTCCATAACTGAATGCTGGTGTATAAACAAATGAATGTCAATTTTCTATTTAGGTAACCCGTTATAAAATATTTCCTCATAGGTGAAGTCCTAATTGTTGAAGATATTGTCCATGAACAAATACGTCAACATCTCCTTATATCTGCTTGTAACTACAGCATCATTTGCTATATGAGGGGCATTAATGTAAAGTGTTACTGAAGGAATTATTGGACAGGGAAACGATATTGGGGAATATTATATCAAAAGTGAAAAGTACAGCGACAGTACTGGCAGATACTGGAGGGATGGACAACATAACAGGACTACCTGACAGTATGATAATCTATCACTGTAGCCCTGCAATGCCTGACACCTTTGAGAAACCTGCTCAGTGTTTGTTTGGACATTCATTTGTGGCGCTCTCGTCAAATTATGTTGTCGGGTGTCCCTTTTTATTTTGTCCACCTTCAGTATTTATGCTCCTGTGTGCACATGCATGCGGGTGTGAACCAAACCATGCACCTATTTAGCTAAATTATTGATCCTCATCAGTTTGCCTCTTGCGGCTGTCAGCGTGTTTCTTCGTGTCATTGTGAATAAAAGCACATTAGGTTTGTTTAATGACGCCGGTTGCCATGGAAACAGCCTCCCACTTTACAGTGACGGAGGAGAGAAAAAGGGAGTGGCTGAAGGGCTCAGGGGGGGACACAGGTTTTGTGTGTGTGTGTGTGTGTGTGTGTGTGTGTGTGTGTGGGTCAGGTACTCTGCAAAATGTATATAAAGGGAAAGCTCTTGCTCAAAATGGTTTATGTGCACATGACGTCTACAATTGAGTCCGTTACTCATCAACTGAACAACAATGTGCTTTTTAACTCGGGGCTATAGGAGGCTAAATTGATCAGAAACATGCCAATGGGTGTGAACCAATCACCAGTGTGCAGCGTATGTGTAGCAGAAGCCCAATGTATAATGCATGAGTCTTTTTTATTCCTTTGGCAAGAGAAGCAAGTGTTTTGATAGAGTCACATTTAACAGCCTGGTTTCCAGCCTGATGTAGCTGTAAGCTGTGTAATGCTGTATTTATTGTCTAAAGACAGTTACTCAGTAGACTGCATCTAATTTGAAGGTGTAATTATACACGATAGTTAAGGAAAACAGCTCAAAGCTGAAAACCTCTAAAGGCCATGAAATGTGTGTGTGGGGGGGGGGAATATAATTATGTTTCCTCTTTTTGTTAAATGATTGCACACAGTATACCTCCATCTTTTCTTTGGCATGGTCTTTGGATTAATCAGCCATCTGCACAGCAAGAAATGCTTTGTTTGTAATCATCAATGTAATAGCTGAGATTGAATTTTATAGAAAAAAAACAGCATGAAGTCTGTGAGTTCCTCTCAGCTGCCTTTTAGTATTCATACTTTTTTTATGTAGTTTAACAGACCTCTGTGCTTTACTGAATATATTCTCAATGCAATGTACTAGTCAGCCTCTGAAAGCCAAAGGCTGTGGCTGTGGTTCAGTACTCCATCTGCGTTCTCTCTCTCTCTCTCTCTCTCTCATGCTCCTCTGCTCCCTGCAAGCAATGTCGTTTCAGGCTCACCAGACCACAATATATGCAGTCTTGCTGCTCCAATACCTCAAAATATCTGCTCTACCTACACAACCACAATTCACGCAATAGATTTGCATGCAACGTGGCAACTGCTCTGCATGCACCAAATCGTACAACATATCTCCTGCCATCGCTGTTCGCTCCCCTCATCGCCACGCCCGTCTGGAGACCACGTGCAGATACTCTGTCTGACAGAGCTGATGTGTTTCTGGGATGACAGACGTGTAGAGACACGGTTGACCTCACACTGCCTGATCAGTGGAATTATTAGATTTCCACTTTCAAAGTCGTTAACCTGCATGCGGTCAGTGTCATTACTGCAGACCCCTGTTAGATAAGGTCACTGATTTATTGAATGCTTTGTGAAGTCATTCAAGCCTTTATGTTCATCTTTGCTCCATGCAGAATTAGAATCTACTGACCTCAGGGCAAACGGCAGGAATAAATGAAACGGTCTGACTTTCCCTCCCTCTTTAATTTGACTCTTTTTTTCCCCCCGTTGGACTCATTATCCAGCCTCTATTTGGACTCAGTCTCCCTCCATGTTTTTATTTCTCTTGGCATCGCCTCTGGCACCAGATGCAGCCCAGTTAACTGGCCCAGAGCCCGACTCCAGCATGCTACGGAGACCCAGCTGAGGCTTCTGATGCCACAGATACTAAAAGTGTTGCTCTGCATTCCCATGAGTGCTGAGCATTTTTCATGCTTTGTAAGCATGGCACTTATTTTGGTCATCCGCATGTATCGTGGGGTTACTGAGCAGCAGCTTCCTTTGGGCTCTGCACAGCCAGATGAGCTTACTCGCATGCAGTCCGCGGTCCCAGCTGGCAGGTGGTGCTGAGGCTGTAACCGTGGCAACCCCTCTCTCCCATAACACTTTAGGCCGGCGTTCACGAGCCATCCATCCTGCTGCCTCCGTGGCTCTGCAGGACTCTACTTTCCCCAGGCCAGCGTTTCGCTCTATATCTTGCGCAATTTAGCGCTGCTCTCTCTGATCGTAATCATTGTAGTCACAGTGAAGTGTCATTATCATAATTATCGGTGTTATCGTTACTGATTGACTATTTCAGCACCTTTGCTCAAGAGGTTGCAAAGTGATTTCCACAGCTTTTTTGGGTGCTAATATAAATAAATAAATAAATTAAAAAAAAAAAAAATATATATATATATATATTTAATTAATTAATTAAAATCTACACTAAAGGCATACGAGTTCAGCAAAAAGTAAGATGTGTCACATGATCTGGAGCTTATATTAAATCAATCAGTCCTGTTCAATGCAGTTTTAATTCACCTCATGAATTGTATTAATTGCTCACTGTTCTGTCACTATCATGTTTAAGTAAGTGATATGATGGTGCTAATGTTTCATTTTTACTCATTCACAAATAACCTGATGTTACTATCCTTGACATTTCCATGGATACAAATAACTGTGGTTTATAGATGCTAAATGTATCTTGGATTTTAAAGTGGTTGTTGGGAATATTATATGTGAATTATTCGAGTTGATTGAGTGTCTCAACGTGATGAGGTTCTGTTGATTTTTACTGCAGACATTTGTGTCTGAGCTGTTTGGATTTTAACTCATCCAGCAGCATCGCTGTAAGAAATAACCAAATTAAGACAGAATAACAATGAAAACTTTAAGGACACACAAAGGAATGCTTTTGCTTGAAGACAGAAAAAAAAGAGACGGAAACCAGTCAGAGAAAGAAAGAGACGAGACAGAGTGCTCACCTGGAACATGACCCTGTATTGTTCCTCGGGCTTTTGAACCACGCACATGTTGCACCCCATAGTGACTTTTGACACGGCGCTGGACTGTGCAGGTTCAAAATTGCCCCACTTGACCAGTTCTCACACCAGGACTTTCGCTATCAGGGTCTTTGTCTGTGGCAGTGGGAGAGCCCCACCCTCATCCGCAGGCTTGTGATCTAATGCACTCCTCCTCCTCAGAGTAACACACAACACATCCCTGCCGGGGACAGATCCACAGTTTATTTGGCTGTCTTCTCCTCTTGTCGTTCAAAATTCAAGTGTTATAATCCAAAGTAAATTCAAAGGTGGCGATTGTTTCAGAGCTGCAACACCACCTGTTTGTATCTGTCTCCATCGCAGGCAAAATGTTGCTGAAGTAAATGTGCTTGTTGTAGATCGTCCAGTTTCAGTGTTATCTTGGATCTGGAGGAAGGCGGTTTGTAAGAGTCCTGCTGGTTTTGTGCTTATGTAGATTAGGCAGTTGTTTCAGTCAAATCAATGCTGATCCAGTGACTTGTCAAAAGTGATCATAAAGTATACTTGCTGGACCGTGCCTGGTCTGTTCTTCAGTGTTGAAAACTGCTGTATAGAGCAGCTTTTTTTCCAGCAGAACTCCAGCTGAACTCCCTCACGCTGCTCCTGAGTTTTTTCACTTGCAGCACGAGACAACCAAACGGCATCACGTTCAGCAGTGCTCTTTGAACAAGTTAGATACAAACAATACAGCTATCAAAGAACTCACCTCAGTCCTGTTTTTTCTCTCCTCCCTCCCACATCGAGCATATCGCTTGCTAAACCCTCTGCTTTCCAGGATTGCTGAGAGTGGCTGCTAAGATAACGTCTCCTCCTGAAAGCCCTATCGGGACAGCCCTGCTCTCGTCCACCACTCAAGTTAGCAAATACCTTGAGCAATTCTTTAAGGGGTAGGTTGAGTGGTGCAAAGTGGTGTCCATTACACCCTTAGGCAGGATCTTTAAGCCCTTGCTGTTTAGCTAAAATAAGCTGTATGCCAGGGATACAAGCCCAAAGAGCATGAACACCTGCACACGCATCAAGACAGGCAACAACACACGGCTCTTTCAACTACAAGCTCACAAACTGACAAATTTCCTGTAACTGTCAAGCAGAACTGCCATCAACGGAGAAGTCATTTTCATACTGCCTCTCCGAATAATACAAGACATGTATGGAACTGCGAGATTGTTATCGTAGACTGCAGCAGAAACGCATCGTGTTTATCAGATATCATGACAAGTAGTGGACCATTGATTCTCTACACTATCGCACACTCAGCACTCTGGCAGACTGCTCTAGGGTGAGATTTGAATGACGGATTATAATTAAATTACTGACCTCTTCAGTGCAGATGAGACAAGACTCTGTCCTGACTGTGCAGTCAAATCAATATCAAACCAACTCATGGATCAATTGGATTTTGTGCTTGCAAGGTAATCAAAATTGTTTATCACAAGTACTATCGGTTTGTCTTTTACATATCCAATGATTTCATTTATTTAGGCAGGTCATTTCTATCAGCCTGTGGATATACAAACACAATCTCTCATGCTTCGATATTCAAATTGCACAAATGATTAGCCTCAGTCAAGGATAACCTGAATTAGAAGGGTAACAGAATCTCAATATAACTTTCTCAATTGCCTTCCTGTCCCCTTCCTTTGCCCTCTGGGTCCCATCATGTTGGTTAAAGCTTTATCCTTAATCCTCCAGTGAGACTTGAGTCTTGTCTCAAAGGTCCATTGCCGGTGTGCTGCCAGCTACACGGTGTTAGAGCTGCTAATCCTCATTCAAGGCTCCACTACACCTGTATCCTTTCCAGAGGCAGTGTAATCTCAAAGTCTGCTCCGAACTCACCAATTCACACTCAGTCACACTAACATACGCATGCACACAGGGAAGCACGATAACTTGGGGAAGAGAGAACCTGACAGTCTAGAGAGCAGACGCTAATCAAGCTACAGCGAGGTGTCAGACGTGCTCAGCAGGCAGGTGTGCTCCAGCTGTCCCACCGTCTCTCCGTCTCCATCTCTTGACCATCACCATATACCTCTATCTACCCGAGTATCAATCATACATGATTATTGTAGTAGAGTGCCTACAATCATCCTCTGCTTGCCATGCTTTCAGAAAAAAATATAACATTAGATATGACAGATGAATTAGAAAAAATGCCTATATTCTTCTATAAAAGCATGTCCTCAATGTGGCACAAATGTACCCATAAAAGTTATCTTCAGTCTGCAGCAGGACAAAAAAAGAGAAGAAAATTCAAGAATGGCAGTGAGTAAGTCCATTTTAATCCTCCCTTTGTCCTCTGGTCACTCTATTTGAAATGTCCACAGGAGGGTATTTGTGTTTAAGAAAAGAAATAAAAACCATGGTGGAGTATTCCAGGTGGTTAGGCTGTTGAGCAGAGTACAGCACTTGTCTCAGGTCAGTGATAAATCACCATCAGCAGCCCCACAAGATGAGAGAAATCACTAACGGCTGATTGGAGGATACTTCTTGGCTTCTCCCCTTGGGCGCGACGGTAAGTGCACTCCCCCACTGCAGCGGGGGGGGGGGCACAAAAGGCGGTTGTTCCCCAGCGGTGAAGGAGCCTGCTGATCTGGACACTGCACGACTAAAGCTGAATTCGCATGGATTTTACCTTGTATAATTTCTCGCTCTCTTCCTGTCTCTCCTTCACCATCTTTCTCTCCATTTCCAGGGCTGGGCTATACTGCTCTCTTCTCTAGTCCCCCATAATTCTTACCCACACCTCATTTGCTATACCCTCTCCCCTCCTCCTTACTCTCTCTTCTCCCCTGCCTCTCTCTGCTTGTCTGCAGGCAAGAGAGCAAGCACTGGAAAGCCTATTCATTTTGTTTCAGCGGGACAGGACGAGATAACCACCAAAGCCACATAAAAGTGAATGAAATATCAAGGTATGCATGCACTGCACTATCAAGACATGCAGACAAGCAGGGAATAGGTTAATTCATCCCAGGCATGTAAGCCATTCTATGTCACCTTGAGCTCTTATGAGATGGTTTTAGAAAGAAAAGGATGATTGCACTTGTTCATACCAGTAAAAATGCCCAAAACAGGTTAGGGAGCCTGTGACTGGCTGTGCATTTAGATGAGGTTCTGCGCTTCCACAAAGAAGGAGGGAAAAGAAATACTGAGTAAACAAGTTAATAACAGGTGTGACAGGATACATTGAAAGATATGGAAGAGAGCCAAGAGAGAAAATGCAAATGACTGTGTGGGAGAGCAGCAAAGAAGCTGGGATGGGGTAGAACAACGGTTTTCTGCAGTAATCGCAATGACCTGCTGAGGATTCGGGGGGGATTGGATATTTGTGAGTAAAAATCCTCTCTCCCTTTCTCCCAATAAAACACACACAATAAGAGCACTCTTTGCTATTTTTTTAATTTAAAAAAATGCTTTACCGGCACATTTACTGCAGTGCCACTACCAAAGACCTCAGGGCTGGAGAAGGGATAGTCCACAGGGCAGAAAGGATTTGAGTCACTGATGCCAATATGCTGAAAGAATTGTATCCACAGTAAGCAACACTCAGGGTTGACCTTTCTATTGGGACTGTCATTTTCTACCTCTGTTTTCTTTTATTCCATCTTTGTGCGCTTGAACTATATCTGCTACATCAGAGAGTAATTTATCAGCTGCCAAGAAATGAAGAACAACTTCTGTAAGCATGGAGTGCCGTGTCACTTATTATGCCTCTCTCTCTCTCTCTCTCTCTCTCTCTCTCTCTCTCTCTCTCTCTTTTAACCTCCTTGTGTTGTGATAGTTGCCGTTTGAAATTCATGTTGGCTGTTAGTTCAACAGGCTTACACATGTGATTTAGCTCTCAGAATGCTGCAGAGCCACTAATACTGAATGCACACCACATAGAGTTTACACTTACTCACGCAAACACACCCAGTACGACATCTCTCTTGTCTTGTTATCTGTTGCACTCGTGCATCACTCGGCCCAAATCTGTCTGCTTTAGATCTTCGTCCCCAACACGAAAGGTCAGTGTGTTATGTGGAAATACTCTGAAATATCAACTGCCCGCTCCACGAGACACAGAAAAGTAGAGGGCATCACATTTAAACGGACAGGTCCGCCTTATGCAGCTCATGTCATGATCTGTTCCCAGCTTAAATACCAGCACTTGTCCTCTCACATTATCTACTACTGATTCTTGCACTTCCTTCTTGAACTAACCTGAACAAAGAGCCGGTAGCCTGGAATATGCTGCCCTTCTATTTCTCCACTGAACTCTGGTCTGACAATAGCATACCTCCACAGATCTCAACCCTACACGAGTCATAAATACAAAAGCAGAGCAAAATCGTAAAGACATTCCGTCTTCCTGTAATATTCCACGAGACAATGTGTCACGTTCTGCCAGTTGTGCGTCACCAAAATGCACAAGAGGGAAGCTTCTGTCTCGTAAAAATGTTAATAGAAAATTATTATGTATGCATGAGTAAAATAAATGGTAAGAGCTAAGTTTATAAGGGGGAGTAAAAAGAGAATAGGAGAAGTAAAGGAGCTGGAGAGAGGGCTGAACAGTGGGGAGATTTAAGGAAAAGGAATAAAAATATGAAAAAGGAATAATAGTCTCTGTCTTTCGAGCAAGACCTTCCTTTTCTTTAGAAAGAAGCCGAGCAGGGAGGCTCAGGGCTGACAGCAGCAGAGCAATGGAATACTGGCAGAATTTTAACAGTGTTCTCATTATTTATTTACTGCTCTGAGGAAAAGACTGCCAGTACATAATACACTGCTGCAAGAACCATATTCTGTGTTTTGTTTTTTTGCATATATGTGTGCATGCATCTTTGCGTCTGTGTGACGTGACTGCCATATCATAGTAAGGGTTAGCAGCAGCAGCAGCTTCATTCACATTCTGGAGGAGTCACTGTGTGTGTGTGTGTGTGTGTGTGTGTGTGTGTGTGTGTGTGTGTGTGTGTGAGAAAGCGATTTCATAGAGGAAAGCGATGAGGGCCAGCCACGTCTAAGCTGCACTGAGATGGCATGAGATGGGGACTTAGATCGACTGTGGAGAGACGGATAAATGAAACCATGGCAGGAAGGGAAGGCCGGTTTGTGGACAGAGAAGAGAGGAGTCTCTACGATCGGCAAATGTGTCTAATTGTGGTTGAGTGGAGAATACTTTGGTCAGCAGAAGAATGGACTTGCTAATTAACTAGCTGAGGAAATAGACTCAAGACAGGAGTCAACACTGACGTACATCAAGAGAATAGTAAATGAAGAAAGTAAAATTATTTTCTGTTTTAACTGTGGTTGCTGTTGGTTTCAAATCAAAAGTCACGAAATGGTTGATAAAGGCGTTCCACAAGGATCGATAGTAGCTCCCCTGCTATTCATTATATACATGAATACTATTTTTGTAGTATGTGCACGGCAATGTTCATATTTATGCTAACTATACCATGTTGTATAATATCTGCTGAGCTTCAAACCAGGCCTTCTCTCTATATGTCAGTCTGTGTTTATCCTATAGTCAATTCATTTAAATGTAATCTAGCATTATAAGTAGTAAAGAATTTGGTTAGATCGCAGATTTTCCTACTTACTTCCATACTTACTCTCAAAAACAAAAAAAATTCAATTGGATTCTTACAGCAGGACAGTTTGTTACTCCCTTCAAAACAGACAAAACATTAGTATTATATGAAGCTTAAATGACTAATGTATGAAAGTAGAAATCATGCTGTGAAGATTTAGACTTCGAGCATCATGTTTTAAAGAAAGCTCCAGCTATAGAAGGGAGATGTTGTAACACCATGTAAATAGCACAGATTATTTTTTATGAAAGGAGAAGAGACATAAATCAGCCGACACACTTGAGAGTTGTTGAGCAGTGAAAATAATTAAATTATCTGTCTATCATAAGAGGCTGACTGGCATGTGGGACATGTAAGTCCTCTTCCACAAATGAATGGCTTTTCATGGCAGTTGGGGAGATGAGGCAGGGATGGGAAAGGGCGTTATTCCCTAATGTCAAGCCATCACTGTTCTTCAATCTTCACTCATCACTACATACCCTCTATTCCCAATTCTCATCTCGCTCTGCTACTGTGTCACAACAGACTAAACACGGAGCAGGGACGAGGCGGAAAGAGGGGCAGAGGGCGATAAAGGGGATGTAAGGGGTAAAGGAGGGAGGAAGGTGAAGGGATGCTTTGGCCAACACCATCTCACCTGTAAAGAAGGAACAAATGCGAGGCTGAGACCAAAGACATTTCCGAGCATATAATTGGCTTCTGGGCAACCTTAATAGGGAAGCCTGCTGAGTGCTGCAATAAAAGAGGAAGAGATGAGCAAAGAAAAGAAATGCACCAACAGTTTGGAAACAGAAGAGGGAATGAAGTGAGGGTGAAGAGAGCATGCGAGGAAGCTGGGTGGAGGAGAAGAGGTAAAGCAGCATGTTGAGAAACAAAGGAAATCACAAAAGATGTGCAGTGGACGTCAAAGTATTTAAGGAGAAAGGTGATTATCATGGTACCATATGGGAGGAGGAAGGCTTAGTGAGAGTGGCCTAATTAATTTCAGTGCTAATGTAGAGAGCACAAGTCTCCATCTCCTCGCTTCAGGCCCTTTATCAGCCTGCACAATAAAACATGAATTCACATTTAACAGCATGGAGAGAAACCCAGCATCGCATTAACACAACAGGAAGGTGGAAGGAACATTCACATCAGCCAGGTAGAATATTAGATTCATAAAAGCTCAGTGAGAACTAAATTAATTAATTCAATTCATATATCCGATTTTAAATCTGTAATCCTGCTGGCTGGGCGGCAACTCCAGCTGTGATATTCCCCATTGTTGCCAGGCCATTTTCCTACCATGATGCTTCAACCTCACTGACTCTTCAGATCAATAACCACTATATCATTCACCCAGCAATGTATTTAATGATCAATATCAACATCTTTCCCATTCTTGCCCGCAAGGACACATGTGCATGGACACACCTTGATGCATTATGAGGAGAAAATTTACAAAATCCCATTAATTCCGCTCCATCCCTCCCTCTCCCCCCTTAGTGATCTCACCTAATGTGATCCCCAATGGCTGTCCGCTGTCTAAATGCCTGCTTTAATAGCCAGAAGCTTTGATATAATTCTGGTCCAGCTCAGAGCTCTGGATTACAGCTGAGCTATCATGTTTCAAGCATAAATCCAATTAAAATTCCCTTTTAATAGCACTTTAGATGCAAGTGCTGCAATGCAACGTGAAAATATAGATGTTTTGTTTGTGCAAACACGCATAAGCCATGCTCAGACACTTGCAGATGTTTCCAAAAGGCGCCCCTCTTTCGTCACTATAAGCATACAATAAACAAAACGTATCCCACACAGGTGTTTTAAGACATCTGCAAGCTGTGGCTCTCCTCCTCCCACATACTCCTACTTGTTTGCCCTAGGCTCATCAAAATCAATATATCATTAGTCAGTCTCTACACTTACCCCCCCTCTGTTCTCCATCCAGAAAAGCTTACCTCCTTCCCACTCTACTCTCACTCTGTCTTCCCCTCACATTTCACACTATTTCATATTTTTTTTCTTGCCTCTCATTCTCACCCCTTTGGCCTCCACCTCCCCACTTTCGTTTCGGCTGTGCTTCTGCCCTTTGTGTATTTCTCTGAGCCCCACCGCTGATATGGAAGAAAGTGTGAAAGGGGGGGGGGGGTTAAAATGGGAGAGGGAGGTGGGGGTTAAAGGTGTAAGGGAGGAATTTGAGCCGTATCAGGTAGAGATGGTGGGTATTGCAGAAACGTGACGGGGGGTAAGAAAGAGCAGAGCAAAGCAGGGAGGAGATGGGGAGCATGAGGGGGAGGGGAGTCTCGCTGGCTGGCTCTGTGGGTGAAATGAATGTGTAATTGCGTTGTAGTGGCTCAACCCTTCACCAGACAAGTAAGTGATGGCAGGAGCGACAGCCTCAACACTCCCCGGTGGAAGTGGCTGAGCCTGTGGGTTGCTGTGCGTGTTGGGTCAACATAAAATGTTGTCAGCAGTGTACAGGCACCAACAACTCCAAGGAGTAACACGCCCATACCCTAAGTGTCAAACATGGCAAGGGATGAGTGATACATGGGTCAGGAATACTTGAAGCCAGCGTGAATACTGGTCATTTTGATTGGTGAAAGAACAAGTGTACAAACAGGGATTTTGTTCAAAATGTATAGTTGTTAAAAATAGGGCTGGCTTGAATCTCCCCCTCACTGCTTCTTCTATCTCCTCCGCCTTCACCCAATACAGCCACCCATTCACTCACAACCCATCCCCACCCTTACATTTTTTTTTTTTTTTTTTTTTTTTTTAACATTCTCTCCTCAGTCTCCCCTTTATTTTCCTTCCCCCTTCCTCTTCTTCTCCACTTCGAACGACTGTGAGGAGGGGTGAAGAAGAGGGTAATTAAAATGGGGAGGCTGTGCAGTGAAATGAAGCCAGTTCAAAGAGACGCCTCATCACTAAGAGAGGAAAATATTAATGGAAAAAAATCCACTTGAGTGTGTGCAACAGAAATGGGTAAACAATATATCAGTTCAGATGTTATTCTTTTATTAAAATAAGAGAAATAGCCGACTTTGATGACCCACATGCCCCTCTCTCGCTCACAAACACAAACAGGGAACAAAGCAGCAGCACATAGCCTTGATTGATGTGCATAGCTCCAGGACAACTAACCAGACCGGTGAGATAGTGACAGCTCACAGAAAGAAGAGGGGAATCAGATCCCAGTGACTGTATCATGGTAACTGCAGAGATAGGGATTGGCAGAACTAGAGAGGGTGCAGATGGAGGAGTCACCTTGAGGGAGAAGAGGGGCAGGAGGGAGGGAGGGGACACAGTGGCAATGCCAATTTATTTATTTTCAGGCCATAAACTGGTCGATATTAACAATTGAATTGACGAGCAATTCAACTATATCCTGGAGTGGAATGTTGAATTCACGATTGTACAAAAAGATCATAACATGTGAGAGGGAAAATCCTGTAAAAGCTTCACAGGTGTCAGCTTCTGTTTGCATTCACAAAGCGCTGGCAGTCTGATACATGTTGACTACACACAGGAGTCAGTACTCTGGTGTTTCACACACCGGAGGTGCGGATGGAAATGAAATACTTTTGATTTAACTGTCAGACACAGCTTTATAAATTGATTTTCAATGATTATGAGTGCATTCCATGGGAAGTTGAAGTAGCGTTTATCCACAACATTACCATCTGTAAGCTCACCTGGGTGGCTGTTTATCACAGCTACAGATTTAGGTCTGAGCTCTGCGGTGAGATATCTTAGGACGAGGCAACGGGCAAAGTAGGTGGGGAGGGTTCACTGGTTTTATAAAGTAAAATGATATAAAAGTGTTGAAATGAATTGCCAGAGTTTGTTTCAACTTGTTCTTTTAAAAATGTTGTCGGGTGTTGATGTTTTTCTCTGTTATTTTTTAACACTAAATAGGAGACCACCTCCCCTCATTAAACAACAGTGACATCTGTTGGTGGAGTACTGACACAGACTAAAAGGACAAGTATGGCGATAGTCTATATTTCTCTTATTTCAATTAAAAGACCAAAACCAACAATTAATTGATCTGTGTAGCCAAAGCTTAGAATGTCTGTGCCATAAATCCTTACCTCAAACATCTATTTATAACAGATCAATGGGCCACACCAGAGCAGTGGGTGACATGTTCATTCATTACAATGAAGATGGGCACTACTGCACATGTCAAGGAAGTACATTGTCCCTCCGATTCCAACTTGTAAGAGATGGAAATAATTGGGTCCACAGAACGAATGGGCTGAGTGTGAGATACAGACTAGTGGTTTTAGTATTTTTTTATGGGATTTGAGGACAATATGAAAAAATATATATCTTATCCTTTAATTTCACTTAATCTAGGGAAGAATTAAATGAGCAATATTGTTCAAATGTAGTGTATCTTATTTGTAAAAGCATGCATTGTTGTGGGAGATGCAAACAATAAAACAATCACCATAGGCGTTTTTTAAAAGAAGACATCGTAGTAAACCTTAATGATGGCGCTGTTCTATCCAAGTGTCCCAATAAGCTTCATTAATTTTATTATTTACACTTTTACTGCTGTGACAAATTTAAATTGTCTTCCGTGTAAAATTGCTGGTGCATTAAATGGCACAGCCTGCCGTGTATCCATTAATGTCACAGAACACATCACAAAGAATCTGACCAGAGTTGTAGAAATGAACAGAGTAACGATTAAGATTCACAAAATTCTGAGCAGCAAGGAAGGAATAAGAAATCACATCTGCTAATTAATAAACATCTCCTACTTCCTGGATAAGTCCTGAACTAAGGACTTGTAGATATTGTTACTTAAAAAAATGTACTGCTAGATCATGAAAGAACCAGTGTCTATAACTTGCTGGATGTATATAATGACCAGTTTTTCAACACATCATTATTGATTAACTCTCAGTCTGTTGCTGTTTGTTGTGCTTTATTCTGAGTTTTACAATGCATCATTATTTCATGATTACCGCTCCATTAGTTCTCACTGCATTACTTTGTTCCTCCATTCTGAGTAATTCAGGAAGTAATCGTTTGATGTTTGCTAATTTATTCCTGGTTTATTCTTTACTAATTGATTCATAACTATTTACGATTATGTGTTCCTCATTGTAAAGTGGAAGGGCGAGAAGGAGAAAGCTCAAATGTGCTGATGCCAGAAGCTATTGGAATCAACAATAACTAACAAGGGAGCATCCTTGATGTTTCTGAAAAAGGTTTTACTTAATAAATAAATTGAATATGTATAACACTGTTTTAAGCCAAATGACACTCAAGGACAATTTAGTTTTTTTCCATTTCTGAGTGAAAACCAGGAGGTATTTGGACTAAGATAAAGCACCAGCTAAGGTATAGTGGGCTACACAAATGCACCTCGGAGCAGAGGAAATATTAATACATGGCAGGAAATTACAAGCAGGAGTGGAGAGCAATATATCTCACACAGTATATGAGCCTCTGTCCTAAATACTGCAAACTCTGTTTTGTTTGTTAATGGTCACAAGACAGAAGCTATTGCAGCTGTTTAAGCTCTAGGAATGAGCTTTAGTTGTGGCTCTGCAGAGGATATATTTTAATGTTAAAATAAAATGCCCCCAAGACTATAGTTGTGAAGATGCACTTGATTTGCTGCACTGATCATTGGAAATGATGTCTGTACCAGACCAAGGACACATCACTTCTTGTGAGTGCTGACAAATGAAACACATTGATCCAGTGCTAATGTCAGAACACACACATAAACACTCTGTACATTTCCATTTTAACTAAAAATAATGTATTAAAATACCTCAGAGAGAATGAAAATTATAGTTTAGTTTAGCCATGTGTTCTTATGTCCCACAAAACAATTCTAGTCAACAAATTGTCACATAAAAACACATAAAACTTATTTGTTTGTTACAATGTGTGTAGGTAATGCAGTAACTAAAATTCAACTCAAATTGATTTTCATCACCAATTTTGACTATATAAAACTAGATTTGTTGCAACATGTAAAACGTATTGCTTTGTAAGTAACAATCTACGCTACAGGCTACAGGAAAGGAAAAACGGACTAGATACAAAGAGGGTCACAAATTCATGTGTGTAAAAACTAACTTTGGTCTTTCTGATACACTCAAATCCATATATATATATATATATACTATCGCTGTGTCTGTGGAGTAATTTATTTTCCTTGATGAACATTTTCAGGTCACAGAATCTAATGGATGATAGAATTCAGTGTCACACCGCCAAGCAAACAATGGTGGAAAGTAAGTAAATACACTATTAAATTGCACTGTACTTGTAGGCTACTTTACTGTAGTAATTTAATTTCATGCTACTTTCTTCTTTCTGCCCCTCTAAATTTCAGAGACAAATATTGTGCTACTTGCTTCACGACATTTAGTTCATAGCTTTAGTCACTAGTTACTTTGCAGATTTGGATTACTGGCACACAAAAACAATAATCAACAAATAAATTGCCCATTATAATCAGGCTAATTAATGATCACCTAGGGGGTACATACATTTTTTTATTTTTATGGTCATATTTTGTACTCGAATAAAGTTAGTTGACTTTCATTTATACGGTACTGCTAATTACTCAAGTAGCCTAAAGATGTGAGTGCTTCTTCCACCCCCGGCCAGCAGGGGTCCTCGGAGCACCGTGTGGTGGCGGTCACAGTGCCAGAAGAGACAGTGTGACACAACAAAACTCTCCTCTACTGCTAGTTTGCTTAAATAAATATCAACAGTCTGTCAGGGCCGGAGTTTTTATCTGGAAAGTAAATTACAATACATATACTTGTTGTCGTTGAACATTAACCATTAAAACAAACCGTCCTGTATTCACAAACCTAGCTAAAGTATTCACGGTGGTGCGCGCGCGTTTAACGGAAGTTGAACTTTGTTGCTTCCGATAACTTCCGTAACCGAAGCTAAACAACTGAGACCAAACAAGTTGCAAAGCAAAAATGTGGGCCTGTTGCGTGTCTGGCTGTAAAAACCATTCCTCAACCAGCAAACTGAAATTTTACAGACTACCGTCTGGATCTCGGCCGTTTCAGGTCAACCGGAGACGTTTGTGGCTCCAAGCAATCCAGCGCGTGAACCGTAGCACCGAGGAGCTCAAAGGAAATGCTCGTGTTTGTGGCGCTCATTTTAACTCACGTAAGATAAACCGTGCTTTCAGGTCTTTAGGTTTAGGTGTAGCTCTGTAGTTGTTGAAGTTGCTTACAACCCTATTTGTTTTTTTACATTTTATAGAGGAAGCGTCCATGGACCATGACAGTCCGGACTTTGTGCCTTCGGTGTTTACATGCGCTAAACAGAACCCCAAGAAAATAGTGAAACGGTAAGAGAATGTTGTTAGCTAGCTAGATAACGTTAGCCATAGTTGGCTAAGTTGTTGTGAGTTTGCGCGCCCCAGTTTGTGTTTCACTCAGGCTAGTAGTGTGCTGGCCAGCAAACGAGCAACAACAAAACACAGTCCTACATTACGCTTATATCATTTCATGTGTTATCATCTAAGTGTTGCTCCTTGTCTGTTAGTGTTGGGGGCGTTATTTCACTTAAAGACCATAATTCAAGGTTTTCATGTAGAACTGATATTGATAACAATATTTCACAACAAGAAAGGTATATCAATTGATACTAGTGAGCTATTTGCTGCCCTATTTTCACGATATTTAATGTCTTGCACATGCCTGTAGATAAAGATAACATGACATAAAATGTAAATGCTATAAATCTGTCCTTTCTGTATAAATGCATGGCCACCACACTTCAATGTGAGGCTTTCTGCCATATAAAACCAGGAAACATTGTTGTGTTTATGTCTTAACATTACGTTTGTGCCACTATAAACGGCTGGTCGATGCACCAATCTGTTTATAGATGATCTTTTTATTGTATTGAGCCTTGCTCCACTAATGTATCTTAGCCCCACTAGCTGTTAATGCGCATTCTCTTTCTTGCATTTGAAACGTTTTCTTACTCTACATTGATGAGTGTATGCGTGACACATTTATTGTGTATTCGGATCAAATAGCTTTCATATTTTTGTTTAAAGGTTTTACGGTCGTAGAAAAATGCCACGGCGTACAGGTAAAGTGGAAATGGAAGAAAACACAACTCCACCCAGAGTTGATTCTCCTGTGGACCTCCAGCCCTCTGTTTTGATGGCGAAAATACAGACGCCATCAACTCCATCAGTGCCACAGGTACTACTGGGGGCGATTGTGGCTAAGTGGATAGCAGGGCCGTCTTTCAATCAGTTCGGCGGTTCGAACCCCGGCTCCGCTAGTGGCGTGTCGATGTGTCCTTGAGCAAGACACTTAACCCCAAAATTGCTCCCGTAGCTGTGCCTACGGTGTAGAAATGTGATAGACTCTGAATTGTAAGTCGCTTTGGATAAAAGCGTCTGCTAAATGACTGTAATGTAATGTAGCAGCCACTATTTTTTTATTTCTGCATTCATGTTATGCTTTTACAGTATGTTTCCTTTTGTTATTGTGTTGTGGTTTAAAAGTTAACTTGAGGGCGGGTCTCTCCTATGTGTGTTTCCTAGGATGGAGAAACTTTGACTACAGAGCCCGAGACTGAAACTACACCCGTCAAATCACAAACAACCTCCAGCCCATACAAGGCATCGCCATCATTTGAAGCTCCAGTGGGCATCCCAAATCTAGAGAAAAGAAGTCCCATTTTGCTCCTTAAACGTATATATCGACCAGCAGGTGGATATCAGTGTGCACAGTGCAATCAGAGCTTCGCCGATGTACCACAGCTCATGAAACACAGAAAACTGCATGACGAAGAAATCTCCTTTATCTGTGAAAACTGTGCAAGGCATTTCACAAGTCACGCAGATTTCACTGAGCACCAGTGTGAGTCCGAGCCTTCCTTTCCGTGCAATGTGTGTGATCGTTCTTTCGTTACAAGTCATAACCTCAAGCGCCATAAGCTGCTGCATGTCAAAGATGGCAGGAAGTGTGGCATCTGTGGCGTGCTGTTCTGTCAACGCCACAATCACGTTTTATTCCTGCCGTTGCCAGCGTCTATAACCGAGTATGAAGAGGATTCCGCCACCACTCGGCCTCGAAATGTAGACCGTAATTTGATGCCAGAAAACCATCTGCCGGTGAAGCCTGAGCCGAGTCAGAATGCTGACCTGGATTGCGATGCGCGGAGCAACGTGACTGTTTTACTCGGACCTTTATCCAAGACCCGTAAGACCCCATCTGCCTCACGTGCAAGAATCTCATCAAAATTCCACGTACCAGCGTTTCTAAAACCTCCGTCTGCGTCAGGTCTACCGCCACCAGTACCCACGGTCACGAGGAAGCCTCGGCCCTCGTCTCGGTTTAAGCTACCGCCGCCCAACTATCCTGCATCCTTCACTCAGCCCCGTCTTCCCCTACATTCAGAACTCCCACCCTCACTAAAGCTCTTTTCACCACTGTACCTCACCTCAGCATTACTTGAGGTGAAAAGAAATTATGAATACATTTTAAGCAAACCAAAAGGTGTTAACAAGATTGTCGTAAAGGAGGAACAATGCCAGCTCCCTCTGATTCCTCCAGATGAGCAAAGCGTCGAAAGAACTGCTTACGACCTGGAGATCTGAAAAGAAATGTGGGTGGAAATCTATCACTTTTAAAAACAAACAGCGAATTAATAATTTACTTTGTCTCACTACAATTTAACCAGAGCAGTCAAACTGGCCCGTTTGCCTCGACTGTAATGTTCTACGTTTTCTTAGTACTTTTACGAAGACTTGTGCTCTGGATCACATTCTGTCAAACACACGAGTTTGTCCACACATTAGCTGTCTGTATGAAATGAAGTGATCACATTTTGTTTAGTGTTCCTATAATAAGTGTATGCTGTGAAGGTGTTGCTGCACCCTTGTCTTCGATGCCTATTTTCTCTGACAGTTGGGCCTAATCTGGTTCAGCACATCGATGTATTTTAATGTCTAAACTCATAAAGCTGCTATTTAGAGTGCTGTCACTTTCTATGTTCCTGACGAGAAATGAGTTTTTCTACTCTTTGGTAAATATCACTGTGTACAAAAGAAGAATCTGTAACTTACCTGGATGTTAAAACTGCAGCAGTTGGACTGCAGGCTGTATTAGTTTTTAGGGTAATAATCAGTTAGGTATGTGAGTAAATGCACATTCCTATGAATGATATGATTTTGGGAATATCATTATCCAGCACCATATTTGACATCTGATATCTGTTTTCCCAGCTACCTCAGCGACCGGTGAACTGCACAGGAAGTGTTTGTTGTTCATAGCCATATGTTTGCACATGAAGATACGTTTTCCCCCACGATGCAGCAATTCCAGTATTTGGGGTACACACAAGTATTACATTTTCTTGAGTTGGCTTGTTTGTGCTAAAATCTGGACGTGGCAGAAAGCAGAGTGTTACTAAAAATTAGCATAACATATCCCCTTGCTGCTAATTCTGTTTTTGATCATTGTTAGTTTTAATCGCTACATTCAATGGATGACAATTTTTACAACCATGAATGTTTTCTTTGCCTTGACCACTGTCATAGCTTTGGAGCATTGTAACACTCCATTTACAACAAAGAAAACTCAGAATTATGATTCTGTGGCCAAAGATGTCTTCAGATTTGTCCTGCTGGTAGCACCAGAGAGATTGTTAAATCGACCCAAAACTGTCTGCCTGCTTGTCTCGGACCAACCTCTTTATCCGCGTGTCATAGTGCATAGAAATGGCCTCTGTGAGCTGCGATACAATCCCATTGCAAGAAAAAATCCCACAGTACAATAACAATAAGGTGCCTTCATGCCTTCATTCGTTGGGCCTTTGTTTGTTTGTGTTTCCCAAAGTACAGCATGTGTTAGAAGTAAAGAAAATGAGGCTGCCCAATAGTACAATCCACTTATAACCATCGATCACAACCACTAACTATTAAGTATAATATTTAATGTTTATTTGCACATGTCATCATGACTATTGCTGAGTAAAGTGAAGGAATGTGTTGTTTTTCAAGAGCCAAATTTAAACTTTTAGCCCAGCAGCATTTGGACATAAATGACATTTAAAAATGCAGACTCGATAGAAAAAAAACAGCAATATAATGCACTTTATAAATGACATTTTAAATTGCATCATTTGTTTTATTAGATATTTTGGCCCTTTACAAAATGTAACTGCAGACCTGTTGGCTTTTTAGAAAGTGACCCTTTGTTAGTGACTTTGTTAACATTTTTAACTGCAGAATTAATGAATTATTTAGAAATAACATCCTTTAACCTTTATAAATGAGGCAGAGCACCAACAGATAATGGGATTCTTCACAACCTGGCAAGCCAAACATTGTTCTTGGCTCAGTTATTAATGATCTATATAGCATTAGGATTTTTTAATCTATTCATAAAGCTATTCGTTAGAACATATAACTCCTTCAGCAATGATGACTTGTTGCTTGCATTACATACAATTACAGTGTTTGACTTTTTATTGTTTCGTTGTTTTTTGCGGTAACTTAAAGGCAACACTTTTTGACAGTAAGGACATATGTCATAAATATTGATATCATTTAGACACGATTATAAATAGTTTTGTGTTCTTTGGCAAAAGAATGTTCCCAAAAGAAAAAGTAGGTCAAGTGTATATTTGATTTTATTAGTCATACCTACAATTCATCCCTCCAAAACCTTTTGTACCACATCTACGTGCCAGATGCGAGTGCTCAGTCAATCTGCACGCTGTACACATCCTATTGGGCGGGAGGCACCGGGTAATGGTGGACGATGGTTCTGATTGGCCGCGTCGCCTGTCACTCAAGATGACCGGCAGGAACGATTGGCTGGCGTTCCCGGACCTAAGCAGCTGATTGGTTGAAATGTGTCCGACTGGCTGCTTAGATGACAGGCAAGTGGTGCTGATGCTGTGACAATGGGAGTCATCCAGATAAGCATCATCTGGACCGAGTGTGTTTAAAACACAGCGGCAGCACACGCGCGCGCACGCACGCTCACTGTGAAGGGACGGGAAAGCAGCTGAGAAGGATCACGAGGAGTAACCTCCAGCTGCTGCTCCGAAAAGGGTAAGTTGACCCCTGGAAAACAGACTGACATGCCCGGGGCGTCCAGTTAGCTGTTTCCTGACGTGGGGGGCCGGAACCGCTCTTAAGGACGCGGGTAGCATCACATTAAAATCCCGCTGGCTAAGGTGAAGCCGAGGGTTAGCAATCTTTACGAGCTAAGGACGCTCTGCATTAACCTGCAAGTCGCGCATCGCCGCACATATACTGTTAATGCAGCGGTTGTAGGATTGCAGCTGTGAGTCAACTCGTCACATTGGTCGACTGCATTGCGGAGAGAGCATGCCTTGCAGAATAGCATGTGGATACTGTTCTGCCCTGTCAAGAAGTCTCCTAATTCACCAATGCTGAGCTAAATAATTCAGCATGTTAGTGTAACACGGTGAGGATGTCGAAGGTTTCTTTCTAGTTACAGTGTGATGCATTCGTTACAAGATCAAAATGTGAATTAAAATATAGCAGATGCCAGTAATAACATTAAGATCATCATTGAAACTTTGACATCTAATGCATGGATTTGCACAGATTTGTAGTGAGGTGACGTGCATGCTGGGATTTGAAGTCTGATGGTGGTGTGTGTCTGTTGACAGTGAGTGAATGGTTTAGGCTTGCCTGCGAGTTGCATACGTGTGCTTAAGTGCAGTTGCAGTAAACGCACAGTAGGTTGTAGGCACTGATAATACAGTAAAAAAAATGGCTTCCCTCTGCTTTTTAAGTCTAGTGATGGGAGCGTTCAGCCGGCAGAAGTTTTTCCAAGAGCTGGCTCATGGCTGCCTGCTGCCTACAGCTCAGCAGGGAATGGAGCAAGTGTGGCAGCTGCTGGTTATCTGCCTGCTGTGTCGGCTTCTCTGGATGTTGGGTGAGAGTCTGCTTATTTGGTGCCCAATTTAGGGTTCACTCACTATTCACCTTTCATACAGTATAACCTGCACTACCATAATCACCTGTACTGTCATCTATCTTCTGTTGTCTTGCTATGTCAGGCCTCCCTTCTTTTGTGAAGCACCTGGGCACAGTAGCAGGAGGATTCTACACTCTCTACCTGTTCTTTGAGCTTCATATGATCTGGGTGGTCCTCCTCAGCCTCCTCTGCTACCTCTTCCTCTTCCTGTGCCGCCACTCCACCATCCGAGGCACCTTCCTCTCCATCACGGTGCTCATCTATCTGCTGCTGGGGTAAGAGAGTCCTCCTCTGACAGCTCAGCAGCACACATCGAGGCTGTGTTTGAAGTGAACGCTGTGCAAAGTCAGTGTTTAATTTGAGGCTAAAACTACATCAAAAATGAAGCTATTCTTATGTGATTTTTATCAGAGAGCTGCACATGATGGACACCACCAACTGGCACAAGATGAGAGGTAGTGTTTTCTGTATAGGCAGCAACATTTGACACATTTTTGACAGATGTGATCATTCTAGTTTTACCTTCATATCCAGCATTGATAATGGTCTTATGTGCTGTTGCTGGTGTCCAGGTTCACAGATGGTGGTTGCCATGAAAGCCATCTCTCTGGCCATCGATCTGGACAGAGGTGTGGTGACCAGCGTACCGTCACCCATCGAGTTCATGGGCTATATTTACTTCGTGGGCACCGTCATCTTTGGTCCCTGGATCAGCTTCAACAGCTACAAAGAAGCTTTAGAAGGACGTAAGCTGGTGAGTGTGATACAGTATCACTTAAGAATGGAAGAGGGGGGGGGGGGATTATTTAAAAGATTTATGCTGAGACTCTTGAAATCTTTGGTTCATTCTTCTCCTCAGAGCTTTTCATGGCTGTTAAAAGTGTCTGTTAGCTGGGTGAAGAGCCAGGTGTGCCTTGTTATTTCCAACTGCGTGGCACCCTACCTCTTCCCTTATTTCATACCGATCTATGGAGACAAGCTACTAAGAGGGTGAGTGGAACATAGAGATAAACAAATCCAAATCCCTGTTTATTCCCTGGCTTGGATTGCTTATGGATTCATTATTTTCTTCTATTACCTCTTTTGTTTAAAGCAAAAAGAGGAGGAAGATCAGGTAATTCCCCCGGTGATTCTGATACTCAACATTGTATGCATGCCTTCTTTAAAGAGATAGTTAGAATTGTTTTAAGTGGAGTTGTATGAGGTTCTTATCCATAGTCGGTGTCTTCAGTGGTCTGCACGCTTCTGGCTCAGAGATGCACACAGGAGTTATTGCACGGAAGCAAAGCAATGTGCTGCTGTGGAGGGGGGCAGCAGCAAAACATATTTTAGCCCCCTAAAAGAGAAGCCCGCCAAAAAAAAACTATATCACTTTAAGTGTACGCTATATTTACAATATTTTCACCACTTTATCTTTTGGTGGGCCTTTATTTTAGGTGGCTAAAATGCATTTTGCTGCTGCCCCCGTCCTCAGTAATACATTACTTTGCTTCCATGCACTAACTCCTGTCTGCTTCTCTAAGCTTGGGGGCGTGCCAATTGTCATTTGCTGTATGTAACACACTGACTATGGATCCAAACTCTCCCTTTAATGCATGCTTACTTTCTGTTTACCATATGTGCAACACCTTTAACCTGCATGCGTGTATCCACATCTTTACCTCCTCTCTGTGCATGCACGTATGCGCCAGGACAACCGTCTCACCCAATATAACATATGAATTTAATCTCTAACATTAACTGCTACACCTTTTCTCTTTGTTCTGTTGCTTCTCAGAGGTATACCGGCAAAGTATGTATATCCGTGCTGATTTATTTAGGTTCTTATCTGTAGTTGGTGTGTAATATCTGTCTGTTTCTTCCTCTTTTAATGTCATTGCATTAGGTGGCTGCTGGCGTATGAGAACACAATGTCTTTTCACTTCAGCAATTATTTTGTTGGTTATTTGAGTGAGACCACCACTACTCTGGCGGGAGCAGGCTTCACAGAGGAGAAAGAGAACCTCAAATGGTCAGAATTGCATGTGCAGTATTAACATGAAGTGTGTTTGTCTTTATTCAGGTTTCAAAACAGCCTCTTTTACCTTTTTGTTTTGTAGGGACATGACTGTAGCCAAGCCACTGAGTATAGAATTCCCCCGGTCGATGGTGGAGGTGGTGACATCATGGAATCTGCCCATGTCTCGCTTTCTGCACACCTGTGAGTTATAATGTTAGCAGTGACTGCTTGATGGCAGCAGCTGTGTTTCCTTTTTATTCTTTTTCCTTTTCATTCTCATTATGGTAATGGCTCATTTAAACAAAACACTCTCAAGCAAGCTGATGCTCTCGTCTCACAGATGTTTTTAAGAGTGCCCTCAAATTTGGGACGTTCTCCGCCATTATGGTGACGTATACGGCCAGCGCCCTTCTGCATGTGAGTTCTATGTGGACATCTCACATCAGCAATTACACCTCATACTCTGTAGGCGACTGTCTGTTTCAACAAGTGGATTGTTGAGATTGTGTCTCTTGTGTCTGACAGGGTTTGAGCTTTCATCTGGGTGCGGTGCTCATATCTCTGGGGTTCATCACGTACATTGAGCACGGTGAGAGTCTGCCTAATGTTGTCTCTTTTCCACATTAGAACCTTTCCATTTAGAGAAGGTGCTTAGCTTTGCAGTAATGGTTAATTGGACCTGCTGTTACACACTGTTTCTGTTCACTGCAGTGCTTGTAATTTACCTCTTATGGCTAAAAAGGAACTCTTCTCCTCTGGCTTTATTTTAATGCTTTGGTCTTGTTTTGTGTTTCAGTGTTGCGGAAGAGGCTTGCAGCTGTTTTTAATGCCTGTGTACTGTCAAAGAAATGTCAGCCAAATTGCACTCACCGTAACAAAAAGGTAAAATGCTCCTTTCTCCTCCTTTTCATACAAAGGGGGTCATTTAAAGCTGCGTTTCCACCAAGCAGTCCAGTTCAGTTCAGTACGTAACACATCAGAATGGTTATTTTTGAATTCCCATTAGCACAAGTTGTGGATCAACCAATCCATTCTTGGTACCACCTCGGTCGAGGTTCCAAGCGAGCTAAGCTGATACTAGAGGGTGGCGTTAAAACACTGCTGACCACTGATTGGTCAGAGAGAACCGTCACTAGCGTGACATGGGACATCCACAAACCCGCCGACCAAACTGGTCAATTGAGACGACAATTTTGAGTTCACTCGACCCAGATTTTGTTTTATATGGCGGCTCTCAAATCTATGCAGGACACACTACGTAGTACAATTAATGAAGTTCCTTTGTTTGGTTACCATTGAAATGATTCAGCGAGTGTCACGGCAGTTTCATTCGCCGTCGCAAACTATTCCTTTCAGAAAACAACATAATGCAGCTCCAAATGCGACCTGTACTCACAGTTCTTCTTTTACAGTCGCATATTTTTCACTCATTTGTTGGATGTGCATTATTTTCGTTATAGGCTAGTTAATTGTAGGTTTTCACTGATTTTATTTATTTTTAAATACATGTTTAATTATTGCTTCATGCTGCACAAATAGAGATTTCTATTTCCCATTCCAATCACAGGCCTGTGGTGTTTTCTACATCTTTTGGACATTACGCTGGTTTTCGTCCAACTATTTCATCTGTGCAAATGGCCATTGCACTGGCATTGCTGGCACTTCCTTTCAGAGCAGGAGGTGCTCAAAGGGGGCCTACCTAGTAGATCCTCTGGCCTAGTTAGCAGTCTCTATTTTTATTCTGCATATACTTAAAAATATGAAATGAAGCCGCTTATCATTTTTCCCTTTGATTTTGCCTATAATACGAATAATATTAAACTTCCTCAGCAGGCAAATCCTATTAGAAAACATAAGAAATAGTCTAATCATTAAAAGGATGTACCTAATGTATTACGGAAGTAGTGTATATCAGGTTTTAATGCCGGAAAAAACACAACTGCGGCAGTAAAACTACAGCGCTGTTAGTTGATACTCTTTAGGAGTTGACTGGCAAGATGCTAAATCCCTTATAGTATATTGGTTGCACACACCAAGAGCAGAGGGGAGGGGCCATACTGATTTATGCCAAGGAGAAGCAGCCTGCATGGACTGCAACACAGTGCTGATCGTTCCCATTGTTCCTGGCAATGATACATTAAAGCCCCTGAAAATGTGGTTTCAAATTATTTCTCCATAACATTAAATGTACATGAGCAACAATCAAAATGAGTGGCTGGTAAAAGAAGTTATTTAGTTTAACAGTCAAACTCTTAACTAATCTGCTTCATCAAGACTGTGTAAGAAGCTGATTGAGAGAATGCGTTTCCGGGCCTTCGAGAGACAAACCCACACACATGACAATGAAAAAGATAAAAGTGTCTGAAATATTGATTTGAGCCCTTTGTTCTTACATGATGCATTGTTTCTCCCTCCACAGAAGCTATGGGTGTATGTGATTAACATAGCATTCAGCGCTTTGGCGATACTCCACCTCACCTACCTGGGCTCTGTGTTCAACTCAAGTGTGGACTACATGGAGGAGAATGAGGTAAGGTCACAACATGTTTGGATGAATGTATGCGACTATATTTATACACCCTGTACCCTGTAAAATGTACAACACGCTATGTGATATGAGAACATGTGAACTGCTATGAATGTCACCACAGCTGCAGTATCTATAGTTCAAATGAGGGAAGTCAACTGTCACATAGTTCATTTTGTGTTTAAGTTTTTTTAGATTAGGTTTAGAAATACATTTTGAATCCCATTTTCTTGTAACTTTTTTGTATTTTTATGAAAAGTGTACCAAAGTAAAGATTTGTGTATTTGCATTATCCCATTGAGTGCTTACATGTTATGTACTGCCCCCCCTACAGGATGATATAACCCATCATACCATTCGGAAGTGGTCAGAGCTGAGCTGGACAAGCCACTGGGTCACATTTGGATGCTGGATATTGTACCGCCTCATTCTCTAATAATGCAAGACGGACAAAGTGAAGCAATAATGAGAGACGTAAGGTTGGTTCTCCACCTCTGCACTGTGACTTTATTCTGCATCAGACCGAGGAGAACAGAATCAACCCGTATACAACAATAAACCAACACGGTTGCGCCGCATGTTGGCCGGGTAGTCTATTATTCTAACCTGCTGGGGACTAGTTTTGATACCCATGAAATGATAGCCCACTCCCCCTCCTTTTCTCCGTATAGCAAGCTTTTTTATCTGAGCCGCAGTTGTCAGGCCCTCATGTGACGGCAGTTACCGAGGTCTCACTGTGAGTCGCAATCAATACTTATCAGCATGGTGGAGATCGACTGCTCCTTTCTGTGGACACACGATAGAGCCCTATTATCTAGGTTTCAGGGTCGCGGCAGATGTCCTCCAGATGTGGTTTCCCCCTCACCTCAAGTGTTTTACAATCGTATTTATAGGTTTAAAGATAAGGCTGGTGGTTTTCTACCATATTGTTATTATCAACAAATCCCATGAAAAGGAAAAGCAAACATTAGAGTCTCTGGCTCTCGGCCCTCAGCCCATTCTATATTTCATTTAAAAAAAAAGCTGAATGAGTTTCTAAAATGCCTGGGCACAGTAGTTTCTAGCAGCCGCTTCTCAAACAAGAGTAAATAATGCATTTGTTAGAAACTATTTTCAGCAGCGGATTAATACAGATGCTCTATGCAGCAGGACAACAATGGAGGTCAATGACACAGAAGAAATAATCCACATCAGACTTCGGCTATAGAGGCAACACTTGTTAGAATAAATACATTTATGGATTTAGTCTTTTCATGGGATTTGTTGGCATTAAAAAAAATACAGAATACTCCAGACTTATCCTTTGACAGTGTATTGTGCATGTGTAAGATAACAAAGAGGGGCTTTTTTTGGATGAAAAGAGCACAGGTTATGGTTATGAGGCAGCACTTACAATGTATGATGATTTTCCCTTTTGTGAATTTTAGATAAAGAAAATGAATCAGTAATCTATGAACTAATTTTGTGGTGAAATTTCCTAATGATGTTTGTATTTTGTTTTGTGTAATTATGATAATTTCCTTTAACAATTTAACAATTTTCCTTTGCTTAGAGAAGATCTTATCAGTATATGTGAACATTTGAATAACTCTTTCACTCCTCAGTATTGAAAATAAATGTTTAGAATCAGGGTATTTCACACTTGTTACTGTACGGGGGAAAGTGTTTAAACTTCTTTTCTAATTTCATAGTGGATGAAATGATACAGTATATTGAATATTAATCCTTAAGTACAGATTTTTATCACACCGCTGCTTTAAATGGGGCAATTATGTAATTGATGATTACCTGATGAAAGAATCAAAGTGTCTGTATCAGATTGTGTTCACTCTCTGTCTGAAATCTAGCACGTCAAGAGGATTTGCTTCATGACTAAGATGTAGTGTTTTAGATGAGCCTGGATGTTTGATCACTTGTTCTCAGACATGAACAGTCTCTTCAGACCTAATACCACTCAATCCGTCAAGTACAGTATATTAAATAGTATTCTGATATTTACTTTAGGACAACATTTCTCCCTGTAAATGTGAAGGCACTGATACATCTGTGATATTTTTATAAAATTTTACATCAAACCTGGATTGCTGTCTGTTTAATTCACTCAGTGTGAGAATATATGAAATGTTAGAATATCAGTTACACATAGAAGCCAGATACATGGACTGCTGTAAGAAATAGTTGTTTATTTGCATTATTATTATTTACAAGAAGAAAGTATGGACTGTTAGACAGTCGATCATGGTATGAAGGTGAGTTAGAGAAGGATTGCAAAGGGACAACAAAATATTGTTGTTGTTTATTTGCTGAAAGCAATGGTCCGGTTCAACCTGGAGTCTATTTCTGAGCATCCAATAAGCCCGTGTGGACAGTGTGGAGAAGGGGGCAGCAAAAGGTTGGAAAGGGTCGGAGGGAGAGGTTGAAAAACAGATGGTGATGGATGGAGATCAGGTTCACTTTCTTTCTCTGTGAGAGGTGAGCAGATGCTGTATTGGAAGGCCGCACAACAGCCCAGTCTGCAGGTTCAGGGGGAGAGTGCGAAGGGAGATGTGCACTCAGCCCTGTTTGCCCCGGGGGCTGCCATGTTTACGACGGCAGGACCCCAGCAGTGTCTCCAAAGCCATCTTCACAAAAGCCTGGAAGTTATTGCTTCTCTCCCTTCGGCTGTCCTGCGAGGGGACGAAACACAGACAGATACCTTCACTGGGGACACGGCAATAACGGCATGTCATTTCCACACCGTGTGCCAGACATAGGGAATATCTTGTTATGTCCCAACCCACCGAAAGTTGTTTTTTACTCGGAATTCATCAAGTCTGTGCACAGGTTTGATTCACTGGGCTAAAATATCATGCAGCCAAAAGGTAGCCTCATATAAATGCTTACCTCCTTGCTTTTTGTTATCGTCTCCTTTCTGATCAGCTTTCTTCGGCTGCTCTTTCGGACTCTGAGGTTGCTGTGAAATGAAGGCAAATATAGATATCAAGGGAAACAACGAATAAGAATATCAACAACAAAGAATTACAGATTGAAAAGAAAATGAGTGTTTAACTACAGTAATATTTTTCTTACCTTGGTAGCTGCCTTCTTGTCCGACTTATTACCTGAAAATAGTGGAAACAGATGTATGTCAGACTTTACCATATATTTTTTAAATGAATCATCTAATCGTATTATGTCATTGAACATGCAGCTCTGCTAGTATCTAGATCAATTAAACGAAAAAAATATTGTGCAGGAATACATTTTTGTTTCACATTACGTACCTTTTGTTCCTGGCATTTTGGCTGTGCTCTAGTCAGTTCTGATTCCTGAGAATGCAGTGCTTAATGTGCTGTTGAACTCGGTCATTTATGGCCCGTGCTGGTGAATGGCTCTGTCACTGGGGCCCCTTCGAGAAAGAGCACCATGAACAAGCAAAGAGCCCTGTCAGCTGAGCAGCATGCCCCACAGCTCTGCAGGTCTTTGCTGAGCCAGGCGAAACCTCAGAGCTGACCTTGTCATACTGCCATTGTGAACCCACTGGAACCTATTGTCATGTTACCGCCAACATGAGAATGTGTTTTATTATTAAAAAAAAAAAAAAGGTCTACTAGGCCAGGGATCACTTTTTTAATGTTAATCAGCCACATTAGACACTGGATAGAGGGTTTTGTTGTTACACATGGTTACACTAAATTAGTCTTCAGTATTGTCAGCACTGTAGGAGTGGAGGATAATAGAAGGGATCATTAAGTGAGGCTCACATTTGCCATCCTTTTCATTCTTGATTGTGTGGACTTATCAGTGGTGGATGTACATTTACTTAAGTACTGTACTTATGTAAAATGTTGACGTACTTGTACTTTTCTTGAATATTTCCATGCTACTTTTATACTTCCCCTCCACTACACTTTGGAAGCCAATATTGTATTTTTACTCCACTACTTTTTACTATTTGTAATAATTATTATTATTAGTAGTAGCAGGAGTATTATATAAATTATTTTTTATGACTAAGATGACCAGCTTTACCAGCTGCAACATGATTACACATGATTGCATAATGATACTTTTACTTTAAGTATATATTGATGCTTATACTTCCATACTTTTACTTAACTTTGAATGTAGGCCTTTTACTACTATTCATACACTGTGGTTTCTTATAGTTTGGGTAAAATGCTATTAGAATATTGTTGTTATTAACTAATTAATTATGTTCCCCCTATGAGGCCGCCTGTTTTCCCTCAAGGCACCACTCTCAATATGTAAATATTAGAAGCCGGCCTGCCATTGTTATTACTGTTGGCTTGTGGGTGTTGAACATAAATGTCATCACAATCCTATGAAACCATGCTGCTGTAAATCAAACTGTGTCAACAACACATCATGTAAACGCTTTGCATCATCCGGATTCATGTATCTCCAGCGCGAGCTCCACATCAGTAAGTGGGCTGGTTCCACTGTGTCACGTGACTTGACAGTAAAAGCAGCGATGGAGAAAAGCTAAGGAAGGTGAGCCGTCTTCAGGTGTATTTCTCGGGTTTTCCCTGTGCTGTAACATAACAATGCAATTCCGTATACTCTGTATGAACCTGCTTACTTGTATACTATCTATCTACACTGAAGAATGAGTGGAAAACAGGTTTGTATGTGAATGCATGGCACATGATGTTGTGGCTAACTTGCTAGCTTACGTTAGTTAGCTTTGCGACGTTAGCTGTCAGGAAATGCCCTCGCCTGCGTTTTGGTGCTACTTCCTATCCGCACGCTAACATTTCACCAAACCCATTCATTCCTTAGCTCCATTTGACTGTTTCACTTCACTTCACAGTTCAACAGTTATATTCTGGTGTCAAGGTAGCTAAACATAGCTCAATATCTATTCCTGTGGTGCCATTAGATTCTGCACCATCACCTGATTCAACGCTGTGGATGGGAGGGTGATATTACAATTCTGTGAATGTGACACTCACGCTAAGCTAAGCTACATTTGTATTCAGTGACACAAATGTTGTTAAAACAATGTGTTGTTTATTTTGACAGGAATCTGCCCTGGCAGTGGATTCCTCTCTACCCAGAGTGCTTGTGGAATGGCAGCAGTTTGGCAGCAGGTTTTGGCAGTGGACGCAAGGTGAGACTCCTCATACTGCAGGCTTTTAATAGTCTAAACTGATGAAGAAGCTATTCAGACGTGTAATTGCTTATGGATCACTTGTGAGTTATTGCGTATGCTGTGTCACTTCTTTCTCTTCCCCAGGTACAATGCTTACCGCACGCCTACGTTCCCACAGTTCCGAACTCAGTACATCCGCCGACGCAGCCAGCTGCTCAGAGAGAACGCCAAGTGTGGCTTTGAGCCGGGGCTGCGCAGGCAGTACCTGAGGCTGCGCAGTCAGCTGCTGGCCCTGCGCTACGGGCCCCTGTCCGAGCAGAGCAGCTTCAGGGCCAGCAGTGTGCGCAGCTCCCGCACCACACTGGACCGCATGGAGGTCAGACCCAAAGAAACAGAAAGGGCAGGGAATGTAGAAGAGAAAGAGTAGGAGTGTCTGTGTGTCGGGGGGGGGGGGTGTGGTCTGTACTAATTTGAATGAACATATAGGATATGACACATGAGAGCCATCTGGATGGTTAGACCTCAGTTCATTAATCAGCAGCATAGCCAAGCAACACTTTGGTTGCCCATACATATTAAGCTGAGCAGCTTGGTTGAAATGGCTGGCATTGCCCATGTATATTGGCAATATCATTAACTTATGAATGCATGGTAATTTCAATAGGTTTTCAAGGATTATTAAACCGTTATTTTACAACTTTGTGGTCACAAGTTCTGTCTTTACTTGTACTCACTCCTACGAGGTTCTGTCTCCCCCTGCGGCTCCTCTCCTTCCTCTCCTCTCCTCTCCTCTCGGGCAGGACTTCGAGGAGGACCCCCGTGCCCAAGGGGCTCGTGGTCACCGCCGGTCCGTCAGCAGAGGCTCTTACCAGCTCCAGGCCCAGATGAACAGAGCCGTTTATGATGAGAGGTACCCAGAAGAACCTCCACACAGAGATCCTCAACGTGCATTCAGCCTCTTGTCTCATCGCCTTGAGCAATTGAATTCTCTGTGATTTATTTCTCCTTTGAGCCATTGCGTTTTGTTGGATTTGCTGGCTGTAATTCTGGTTTGGTTGCACTCAGTAATGATCAGCTCTCGTATATTGAGTTGTCAGCTCTAGGCAAGGCTTGTGAGGTGTGTTCTATTGATTATATGCTTACATGGCGGTTTTTATTTCTGGCCGCAGGCCTCCGGGCAGTTTGGTGCCCACCTCGGTGGCAGAGGCCAGTCGTGCCATGGCGGGGGACACAACTTTGAGTGAAAACTATGCTTTTGCTGGCATGCACCACATATTTGACCAACATGTAGACTCAGCTGGTAAGTGATTAGTTTTTAATTCATGATAATCCATTTGTACACATTATAAACATTTATTTCACTCAATCTTCCTCTCCTTGTTCTTTTAGTTCCACGGTTGCAGTTTGCTAATGACGACAAGCACCTCCTTGCTTGCTGCTCCCTGGACGGCAGCCTCTCCATCATGTCCTTGTCCCCGTCTCCTCCCAGTGTGAAGGTGACCCTGAAAGGTCACGGAGGTCCCGTCACGGACTTTGCCTGGTCTCTGAGCAATGACATCATTGTGTCGACGTCCCTAGACGGGACTCTGCGTATCTGGAACACGGAGGACGGTCGGTGCATCCGAGAGGTCAGAGATCCAGAATCCAGCGAGTTGCTCTGCTGCACCTTCCAGCCCATGAACAACAACCTTACTGTGGTGAGTCCCATTTGAGACATGCTGTCAGTTTAATGTTCTCTAGTACCATTAAAAACTTGGTTTTGTACTCAGTTACGGGTAATGACGCTTAATGCAGGACTAGAGAAATATTTGATCCCTGTTCAGTATTTTAGGTTTTTAATGTAGTTTAATTAACTAATGTACTTGTTCATCCTACCTATTTCTTTATGTGTCCTCAACTTGAACACTTGGGAGGATTCACCATTTTTGTGTTGCAGTATTATACTTCTAATTTTGGGTTAGATTTTAAAGGACTTTTTGAATAATTTCCTTCTCACCTGCAGTTGTATTGACTACTGTTAATGTAGCAACAATCCAGTCCTGATAACACGTTTGCAAAATCTTTGTTTCGTTAACTCGAACCAAATGACAATAGGTGAGTTTCTGGACTAAATGGTTGAGTTTAATAACAGTGGTGATACTTTGATGTTGATATCTCATTAAATCAGTGATAATTCAGAATTTCTCCTGTTTCCAGTACTATTTAATAATCTACCCAACAGTCTTGAAACAAGCCACATAGCTGCGATTGTTACGGTGGTAAGACATAAAGTATGTGACTCACTGTTCTGACATTTCAAACGTCTGAATTTAGTTCCCAGACTACACGGCGCAGCTTGAAACTTGTGTTTGCAGATTTAATTGTGAAACGGTCTATATTAGACTAGTGTGGACACCTTGTGAGGTAAGGCGCTGGTTAAACCTGAAAAACATTATAACTACACTCTCTTGTCACCACACAGACACGTTTGACTGTTTTCTTGGTGTTGAAGGCACAGTCACAGTCGCATACGGTGTTGAGAACTTTTGAAAAAATATAAAAAATTAGCTCTGCTCGGGTCCTGATGTACCCATCAACCAACCCACAATCAATGACGTTGACTTTTGCCGGTCTTATTTGCTCCTCATTGTGCATAACATGCTGTAAAATAGAAAGAAAACATCATGCATATTATTTTACTACAAACACTGTCTTGTTTTTGTGAATAAAGTATATTCACAAAACAATAAAAAGCATGCGGAGGCAAAACCTCTCAATAGGAACCTTTCATCCCATCCCAATAACTGCTGCATGTTTACACTGTGCAGACATTTATTCAAAAGCTTTGGAGTTGAATACAATCTTTTGTTGCCAAAGCAAGTGTTAAATGTCATAGATTTAGTTTATACTCTGCTTTTCAATGGCAAATACTTGAATTGATGAGCAGAATGTAAAATGAAGGCAAAGTTGTGCACAGCAGTGTTCATTTACAGTTTATCAAATGGAACATGAGGGAGATGGATATTTGTTTTTAAACGACAGTCAGTACCAACAACAAGTAATACCATTGTGAAACAAAGTACTTTTTTGTGGTTCGTATTGGTTTAACTGGTCTGTCTGCCAGAGCCGCCCTGTATTGGTTTCGTGTTTGAACACGAGATGCTTATTGTTGGGTTGCATAGTGTCACACCTCAAAGAACTATTTCATATTTTACAAAGAACACCTGTGCAGGTTTTCTGTAGTCTTAACTGCACCCGCAACAACACTCCACCCAGTGCCAGTCAGTTTGTCGGCGCTCCCTCGTTGAAATAATGAAGATCCTCAACCCAGGTCTGTGTTGCAGGTGGGAAACAGCAAACACCACCTGCAGGTGGTGAACATCTCCACCGGGAAGAAGACGAAGGGGGGCTCCAGTAAGCTGACAGGCCGCGTGCTGTCTCTGTCCTTTGATGCTCCGGGGAGGATCCTCTGGGCCGGGGATGACAGGGGGAGCATTTTCTCCTTCCTCTTTGACATGGCCACAGGTACACTCACCACATTGCATATTTGGCAGAGGGCAAAAAGACTGAATCACAAATTGTAATTAGATTACCCCCCACCACACACACAGGGAAGCTGACCAAAGCCAAGCGTCTGGTGGTGAGTGAAGGCAGCTCCATCTGCAGCATATCTGCTCGGTCCTGGATCAGCCGAGAGGCCAGAGACCCCTCCCTGCTGATCAACGCCTGTGTCAATAAGCTGCTGCTGTACAGGTCAGTCTGTAAGAACAAGTCACTGTTTAGGAAGAGGCACTTTAGTCTCCGCTGAGATGTTATTTAAAGCCGTCTTCATTAGTGTAGCTTGTATGTGAAGATGTATTTACGGTGTTACATTGAGTCTGATCAGTTATCCCTCCTTTGCATTGGCAGGGTGGTGGACAACGATGGGACACTACAGCTGAAGAGAAGCTTCCCTATCCAGCACGGTTCCCAGCATGTCCATAGCATCTTCTGCCCCCTCATGTCTTTCAGACAGGGGGCCTGTGTGGGTAAGAAGTCTGTGTGAAGAAAAATCATATGCACAAAAAAATAACATACTGCTGTTTCGGGATGAAAAGAAAAATCAAAATAGCAACGTTTCAGCAATTAAGTGACTGCACCTACCTACCTACCTACCTACCTACCTAGTTGTTAGCTTATATGTATTTTTGAATGAATTTTATTGGCCTTGTAAAGCGCTCATCTACCAACGGGTTGTAGAATTTCATTGTATATAGTCATTTGTTCAAAGGTTATACAGCAAGTTGTTTGCAGATGTGCTATTTGACACTTCACCTAATTTGACTTTCCTCACTTTTTATTATTTCCTAACAATCAACAGTTGAGTTTATTCAAGGCTTGTCATTGTTTAAATTATCAGGTTTGTTTCTCTAATGAACAGAAACCTCTCACTCAGAAAAATACCTTCGAGAGTCTTCAGTGAGGGATGTGTTGTTATTTCACAGTTACAAAAGCCACTGAGGTTTTACAACACGATTAGCTACGTTATTTTAGGAACTGACAAACTGACACCTGAGAAGTTGCCTCATATCTGTATCTCTGGACAGTTGAGCTGCTTCTCTTGCTAAAAAACCGGAAATCCCCGACACACCTGAGTGTTTGTGGCACCAGTTTTTGCGGTGTGTCCCGCACCGTTGGCACTTGAGCATGAATACAAGGAGAAATGGAAGTGAGCAAGGAAACTATCAAAGTCAAGAGAGCACACGCAGAAGACTCTCTTCATTTTTCATCTTCATCTCATTTGATCATTTCCAATACACGGAGATTTTCACAAGGACATCTGGAATCAAGCTAATTGGTGACTGGTGAGAACATGGTAGGCAAAGCGCTTTGTATCATGTATCAGTGGATACCACGACCTGCTGGTATGGAGGGTTATTTCCTCTCACGCAGAATGTACATGGTAGTTCGCTTTAGTCTTCTTTTTGGCTAAAACACAGGCGATGTGAGGCAAAGCCGGTCTCCGCTAGTTCTTTGATGTCGGTTTGTGTCCGGGCCTCAAAGGCTGTATTGTGCATCAAATTGATTTGAATACCGTCTCTTGAGATTGTTTAGAAGCAGTGTGAGCTATTGAAACACCCATTTTCAATCCGAAACGAGTTGTTTTGTGTAAGCCATCCATCATTTATCTCGTTGTCCTTGTAATTTCTCTTCACCATTTTTAACTATTGGATCTTCTGATTTTCCCTCTCGCACAGTGACTGGCAGCGAGGACGCCTGTGTCTACTTCTTCGACGTCGAACGCAACACCAAGGCGATAGTGAACAAGTTGCAGGGTCACGGGGGACCAGTGCTGGACGTCAGCTTCAACTGTGACGAGAGTTTACTGGCGTCCGCCGATTCCACCGGCATGGTCATTATCTGGAGGCGGGAGCAAAAGTGACTGGTGCACCAATAAATTGCTTCCATCCATACAAATGGCTCCTGCCGCCCCTTAACCGTCCAATAACGAGTCTGTAGATTTTCACTGGAATGTAACCGGCTGCATTAAGCGTTTAACGAGAAATCAAGTGCAATCAAATAGAATACCGTATGTGTGTGGGTGTGTGCGCGTGTGTGTGTCAGTACTGCTGCAGCTGAGAAATTGCTTTTTAACAAAGAAACAAAGAGCACTACTCCCATGCATGTGTCATGGCTTACCTCTGACTTGTACGGATGAATATATGTGAAGAGGATAAAATGTAATCTTCCAGAGAAAACCGGTCCAACACTTTGTATCACATTGACGGTCCCTCTGGCATAGATCTAGTTCACTATTTATGTAACTGTTACTCAAGCAGTGTAATCAAGTGTAGTAAAAACCGCCTTCTTTGATTTCAGTTCTGCAATTGCCTGTTTGCATTTAAGACCATGTGCATGACGTTGAACTCGGCAAATCAAATCGATCGTCGCAAAAGACAAGCGCGTTTCTAAGTATGTGTTTGTACTAATCTGTGTGTATGTGTGTATTCAGTTCATGCTGGTTGCAGATTCATATAATTTATTTAATGCACATACAGAATAAACTACTGTAACTGTCAGCAGTCTTTGTGTCCTTTTTTTCACCAAATATATTTGAAACAATACAATTTAACAGCTTAAGCACTGTTGTGTAGTCTTGTTCAACTATGTGTGAGCAAGTATCTCTTTTTAAAGCACCAGAAATCAAACCCCAAAATGTCCTCACATTACCAACATTTAGGTTTTTGGTAAAATTTATGAGAATACTGGATTTTGTCAACATCACTTAGCTGTAGTTAGTTGCAGGTACACTGTACGGTAAATAACCATAGTATCGGGTTAATCAGAAGTTTACAACCTGTGATCCCTTTAAAGAAAGTAATGTCGACTTCTGGTCTTTGTGTTGACATGAGTTCAACCACGGAGGGATTTATCCGTTTCTGATATTGTGTCATTTGAAGGATTTTTAGAGACTAGCGGTGAAAGTATTATTTTGCAAGAAAAACAGCAAAAACTGAATAAAAGTGTTTATTTTAGCCGAGGTGTCTGCTGACCCCCACAAATATGTATTTTATCTATTTAACATTTATTGGTACCCTTTGATGGGTGGTTTGGGAACCACTGATCACAACCACTGTCAGACTAATGTATCATGGCAATCTGTGCACTATTTACACCATCTCAGTATATGAGAAAGATGAACATAATTAACAGAAACAAATGTGATAACAGGGTGAAAAAAGTCCCCTGGAAGCACAGTGTGCATAGGAATCAGTGATTTCATGTTCTAACACATGTCTGATTAATGCACAATTGCATCACCTTCAGACTTCCGATTGTTTTTCCTCTCAAGGTTGGTGAGGGTATTGTGACGTACGAGTGTGGGTGTGAAAGCACAATGAATGGTCGCTGTCTGGGAAGTTCAGGACGAGGCTTTGTTTGAAACAGGCAGGAAAGGTGCTGATAAAAAAAACAAGGATTTCTATCCAAGAGAGCAACATAAAACTTCCACGGTGTGAACCCGAGTGCTCTGATGGGACAATGCAACAACTCTGTATCTTCAGAACATACAGTGGGCGAGGATACGTTTTCACAAATGAGTAAGACGGCCTTTGTTGTGGTGTATCTTTGAGAGAAGTGGGAAGAAAGCTAAAAATAAGATGAATCTTCAACATCGGTTCTGGTGAGACAGAGACACAGTCGGACACAACCTGTTGAACCTGGACTATTTAGAAGGTGTTCACACAGTTGGTGCGGCTCTCTATGGAAACATGTTTTTCATCAGCCACAGTCTGAGCGCACAAATAAAGACAATGGAAATTATCTCTCTTTCAAATTCAAAATACAGGCTAATTGTTTATCGAGAGAATACACAATCTTACGATCGCTGGATTTCAATCAGGCCCTATTTATGATTGAACCATTATGTTCATCCCAAGCTTTCCATTTCATTTCAAAATGTCAGAAGCATAATTATGTGGTATGGTTGGTTGCATAAGGTTTGCTGTACATCTGTATGAGATTCAGTACATGAAGTATTTATGTTCCTTATCGGTCAGAGGAGTTAACCCTTTACAACAACATTTTAAATGGTTTCTATTTTCTTTTATTTTTATTAAATAAAATAATCTTTTATTCATCCAGATAGTGACTGAGTTTTAGAGAATGAAATTAGTTGTTCTGGTCTGTTGAACGATTGGATACCGCCTTAAACCAATTTCTCGGTTTACACAAAAGATTCCTCAGCTGCCGCTTGAAAAGCCTGATAAACAGGAGCAGTTATTTTTATTGACCTTATTTTACAGTCTCCATTTCTGGATTTTGTGCTGTTTCTGCTTTGGAGCATTAAAATCAAATGCTAGTTTTAACTATAAATGTTAATGAACTATTTTAATGTTTGAATTCTATTTTGTCTGATTTCATAACACATTTCAACGACCTCAGAATATATTTGTTTAGCTTCATAGTTTAAAGTGCGACTAGATTCTTGAAAAGTTGAATTCATGAGAAATAAAATGCATCCTTGCTCAATTCAATACAGTCAAGGGTTTTGCTTCTACAGCCTCACTTGGTCTGGTATGACCGGTAGCTTATGATGCCTACTGTCATCAAACTTTAAACAGGTATTGCTGTATAACTTTGTATGACACTGCTTAGCTGTGAGCTTATGACTCTTCTCCATTTGTGTTACATTTGTCATTATCCGGTTATTGTCATTCATAGCCATTAGCAAAAGTTAAATAGTCTCACTTTAAGTTTTATTGCAGGAAGATTTAAGTATATCTGACCGCTAGCTTTAAGAAACCAACTTGTTAGTTCCAACCACATTTTTTGTTCCCATAAAGTTCAGTTCAAGCCTTGTATAACAATTATAATTAATTCTAACTCCTCCGTTTGTGTATTTATACACCCATCTCCACAGATTTGAAATGTTGGTACGTAAGCACGTTGTTGTTCAGTGCTCAGTGGAGAGGAAAGCGTCAAGAAGACTTTCAGATTTCATGCAGTGAAGTGTACTAAACTGGACCAATTTGTCACAAATGTAACTTTTTTTTGGTATATGTTCAGGAACTAAAATGCACACAGGATGTAGTTTGTGCTACATGTACTGTAAAGTGGTCTATTTCCTGTTTAAAGTGTAACATCCAGACAGGTCATAACTCAGAATGCATCAAAAGTAGAGTCTTTATTGATGAGTGGGCAAAAGAACCACCTCAGTTAAACTGTACAGTTACAGAATATCATCTCGCGAAGGAATGCCAGACGTAAAAATGATGGACCTCAGTTCCCGCTTGACTTCGTCTTTCCATATCAACATCTGTACAAGTTGTAATCCCCAGTCTTGAATCTATGAAATGCAGTGGAATGCATGCAAATACAGTATGCAGTGCAAGTGTCCACATTTAGAAAATTGACTGCACAAATATACAGTATATATGCCTAACATACTGTAGGTCTGACATTTGTATTCTCGTCTTAATTTGGAGAAAACTTCATATACTTTAAGCCGGTTACCACACACCAAACATCTCGTGTCCAGCCTGAAGGCGTTTTGATCCAGGACAGGACACTCAGATGGGGACATTGATGTTCGGGGGGGTATAGATATAAGAAGGCCTGGAAACATTCAAGTTTTCTTCCCATTAAGTGCCACTTCATTTCTTCCCTTTTTTTTGTATTCTGGTGAGAGACATAACAATACTTTAAAAACAGTCCCAAAATCATCATTTGCTGATGATTTTTTAAAACGACGTAATTTACATCATCATTCAAGTCATTCAATTCTCTCGCCTGTCGTTTTCTAATTATTCTGTCCCGTTTTTCATAATCCATCTCTACTTCACATTTGCTTGTACACTGAAAGAAAATACTACATTTTCAGTTACGGAAATCCACTTAAAGGATACATTTCCATAAGTATACTGTTCAATTTTGCATGATTTTGAGACACCAAGATGAGGCTGCTTTCATATTGACTCAATATTACTGGAACCTATTCTATCATCATTATTTCTCTCATCTTTCTCCTTCCCTCCTCTCCTCTCCGTCTACCTCTTCCTCTCTCTCTCACACACACATACACACAAATGCTATATAAAAACACACAAGCAGGAATATACATTCCTGTACAGTCTGTACAATATGAAATCAAGTCATATTTCAAAATAGTGTCATCTGCTTCACATGTATAGTTTACAAATAAAGGAAAACAGGCATTTTTTATGATACAAAGAAACCTGACACGCCCTAAATCAAGTCCAAAAAAACAAGCATGTTAGGGGCTTCTTGGGGTCACAACAGCTATTTAAATGTATCCAAGGTTATTGAGTCCATTCAATATTCTGCAGTCTCCTTTGAATTACATGAAAAGGCGTCCGGGGTGGTCTATGAATCCATTCAGACCCTTTGAGTTCCTTGATGTGTTTCAGAGTTAGTAACGCTCTGATGAACACGTTCTATTCACAGTCCGCAGCAAATTTCTTCAAGGATTTCAACCCACTGCGTGTTTGTGGTGGGCCTCAGGTGACACAGAATCTCATTCTCAGTTGAAAGCTCTGGGGCGTGTCCCATTGAAATAAGGCAACATTATTTTAAAATGGCATCTGTCACACTTAGTTTGAGCAGTGATACTTGTGATCTTTCCTACTTAGTTAATCATACAGTACATCATCAGAAATACAAACCATTAAAGTGTCACCAGGCCTTTTTCTAGGTTCAAACCTCTGCACCTGACACATTTATTCAAACATCAACATTCTTAATAAAATGGCACTGTGCCTGCATTTGTCGGCAACAATTTTATTTTGTTGTGCAAAACAACAAAACAGACACTTAACCAAGATGCATTAGATCACTTCTACTCCCCAAATTCTCCCTTTAAAACTTGAAACATTCTCTTAATTATTAAGCTCATATCTTATCACATAATGCAGTAGGCCTCATCCTGGGGCAGGTGTTGTTTAGTCCTCCAGTAGCTGGGCAGGTGATTTCTCAGCACTTTCCTCAGGTCCTCGTTGAGCAGGAGACAGAAGATGGGGTTGACTCCGGCTTGGGCGAAGCTCATCCACACTGTGATGGAAAGGTACCTGTGAGGGATGGTGCAGGACTTGACGAAGACCCTCCAGAAGCACGACACGATGTAAGGAGCCCAGAGGACCAGGAAGAGCAGGGTGATGGTGTAGAACATCCTGCCCAGCCTCCTCTCTGACCTCACCTCTTCCATCCCGAGCAGCCGCCGATGTTGATTGTGTAAGTTTTGCCTGATGCCCAACAGAGTGGGTGGCATGGGGCCACGACCGAACCCTGCAATCCAGTTAGCAGCAGCTTGACCTGTGGCCCCAGGACCGTGGAAGGTCCAGTTCTGGCTGATAGCTGGCACTAGCTGGACGGGTTTCATCTTGCGGTGCCGGTACTCAAACAGCAGCAGCTTGGCGTAGAAACCGTGGGTGGCCAGGACCACCACAGCCAGCATGAGCATGAAGCCCAGGGTGTCGTTTGTCTTCAGGTAGCGGTGTTCAAAAATGCACTGATCCTCATCACGGATGAACTTGTATGTCCCCACATCAAAGACAGGTGGGAACGCCATGGCCACGGCCAGAGTCCACACCATGCAAATGATGGCGGCGCAGGTCCAGATGGTCATGCGCTTGGCGTAGAATCGGTGGTGGGCGATGGCAAGGTAGCGGGTGACGGCCACACAAAACAGCATGAAGGCAGCGTGAAAACAGAACAGCACAGCCATAAAAGCCACAACTTTACAACTCAAGGCGCTGTAAGTCCAGGCCGAGCTGTTGTGGACGGAAACCAGCACAAAGGGGAAGCAGGCGGCGGAGCGAACCGCATCGGCCAGGCACAGGTCCAGGAGAAAGAAGTAGGGAGCCTTATGAAGTGTCCTGTCTCGTAGGACCAGCAGCGAGACCAAGAGGTTGCCTACAAGGCTGACACAGATGATCAAACCCAAGAAGATCAGCTTAAAGTAGGCAGACACATCTGTGGCAGAGATTCCTCCACTGTTGCCGCCGCCGCCGCCGCCACTGCCGCTGCTGCTGCTGCCGCTTCTTGCCATTCCACTCTGCGAAGCCAGTACAGCCAGCAAACTGCCTGGGCCATCGATGGCAAAGCTCTGGTTAGACATTCTATCACCTTCCACTGGAGCCGGCCTGGTTCGGGCCCTTTTATAAACACTACTGATCCTCCTACAGCCGTCGTCTCCCGCGGCGCTCTCGTCTTTACAAGGAGAGGCCGTAAGGATCTTTTCTACATGACAGACTCATCTTTCCTCTTTGTCCACAACCTCACCACCTGTGAACAGAGACACGGATTTTGAGGAATGGAAAACAAGATGTCTGACGGTGCTTGTTAGGTCTAAAACAGTCCACTAAACGGAAAACAAGCTCACATTTAACAGCATGGATGTAGAAGTGCTGTGTTGGGCGACACAGTGGAAATCTTTGCCTTCCTGTTCCTCTAAGGCTGGGATCAGATCAGCAGCTCTACAGCATGCCAGCTCCTTGGCTCTCTCAGTAATTACCTTGCCCGTTGCTAAGATACAACAGCTCACATACTTTGTGCGAGTGTGGGTGTTTGAGTGAATGCATGGGGGTGTACGGGGGGATGGAGCAGACACAGTACAGCCACCACTAGGCATGTCCAACAAACAGAGACGTTGTAAATGAGCAAAGAACATGTTATGCTCTCTCTCCGCTGCTGTGTGTGTGTGCGTGACAGTCAGGGTGAAATCTGTACCATTCACAGCACAAAACAAATGTGAAAATATAATAGCAGAGCAGGCAGCCATTTTTTTTTTACCGTTGGCCTACGTGTGTGAATTTGACTCTCAACAGGAGGAAGTTATTATTTCGATTGTCATAGCCAGGCCTCAGTGTTTCAGCAAGGAGCCTGCAGTCTGTCTCGTTTAAAGAAGACATGATTAAAAACATGAAAATTCAATTTAAGAAAAACATATCCAAGATGCAGCCTTGTTTAAAAACTCATTGATAGCCGTAAGGGGATAATAAAACATAGCTGTGCTTGTCTGGGTGGGCCGTGTCTATGTAGGCCAGGAAACATAATGTGGTCTGCTGTAACTGAGGGCTTGTTTTCCCCCCATACAGAACAGCCCTCTGCCACCTTGACAAATATCGTTTCACATTATTAGATAGCTGTCATGTCAGCTAGGCCTAAAAACACAGGCTGGACTGAAAAACAGATGAACAGGTGTCAAAATCACCTCTGCTGTGTGTGTGTGTGTGTGTGTGTGTGTGTGTGTGTGAGAGTGAGAGAGAGGGAGAGAGAGGGAGGGAGAGAGAGAGAGGATAACCTACCTTTCATCCCTTCATCTTTTTTGGATATGTTCTTCTCTCACGGCAAAAACAAAAAAAGGATCCCAGTCGCTTTGTTTCACTGTTTGTTTAAATCGAGAGAAAAACACATAATAAAGCCTCATGCTCGTGCTGTGCTCTCGGGCTCAAACAACACCTGTTATTCATAAATCCATCGCGAGGAAATCGAATTGACCAACATATAATAAACATAAGACGGCAGAGGCTATCTAATTATAATCAACAGCTGATCAAACAATCCAGGGTGAGGATCTCTGCCACATTTAAGAGATTATGCATGAAAAACATCCACCGCCACCCTTTTACAGTCTCACGCGGAGGGATGTGTTCATTTGTGTCTGAATATCATCCGAGAAAAACAGATTTTTTTTTTTTTTTTAAATGTTGCATCGCGTCGAAGATGAATTTCCAGAAGGCTAGAAACAGACGCGATGACAAAACATATCTTGATCTGTTCACATATATCCAAATGATGTCAGATTTTCAATGCTTATAATAACCCACCCACAAACGTTAGGGGGAAAAAAGACTCGCGCATCCCCTAAATGAATCGTCTTGGCATGTATATTGGCTAATGGCACCAGAACAATTAGTCCACACAGACAACCGCCTCGATTCACCTCTTCCCCCCATCTTTCAGAAACAGAAAAAGGCGATGCATTTACCCTGAACTGTTAATATGCAGTCTTTGTTTTGCTGTCCAGCGAAGGTGGACTACATCTTAATAGTCCACAATAAAAAAGCCTCCGTGACAGAACAAGTACATTTCTGATCACATCCAGCGATGTCACGAGGGGAGTCACGTCGCCAAACGCTGTCGAAATCACGATTTGAAAAAAGAAAAAGAAAAACAACGCGGCTCGATTAGGAGAATTATTCCTGAATAATCCCAATTATGGCTGCTTGCAAGGAGGCATGCTCGCACATTCGCGGAAACCGTCGGTTTTATTCGGAGGGAGAAAGAGAGAGAGAGGGAGAAAGAGAGAGAGAGGGAGAAAGAGAGAGAGAGAGAGAGAGCAGTAAGCTATTGTGAGCAATTTAAAAGTGATGTTTTATTCTAACCGTCTCTCCGGCATCATGTAGGCTGTGACGGCGTCATGCTTTGTCACGCAGCGAGGAGCTCCAGCTGTAAACAAACGGTGTCTTTCATCGGTCTCCTGCTGCCCTTGGTGACAGACTGGAGCCGAAATGACACAGACGGGCCTGACAGGGCAGCAGCAAGGAATCCCGGGTCCTCTGGAAGAATTCTTGGGCCTCCTTGGTTTTTTTTGTTTTTTTTAAAGATTATTTATCTGACAGAACTGGGGAAGAATGAGTGGTGTGACATGAAACAAAGGTCCCAAGACTGGAATCGAACCCGGTACATTGCAGTAATGTGCTACTAAGGCAATAATAAAACACACATTTCCAGGGGGCCCTTACATCACCAAAACCATAGTTCCACACAAAATACATTGTTTTTGTGGAGGCAATATGCTCTGAGTTTCGTATTGAGCACCTTTAAGTAAGTAACATCTCAGAAATATCTCAACAACTATTGAAATGGCAGTTTGTACAGACGTACATTTTTTTAATTACAAAACTCATAATCTTACTGGCTGATGCACCCTCAAACTGTACTGTGAAATGCCCAGTGGTTACTGCGGTATACTTTAGTGTAATTTAGGGGGGCATTTTGCCTTTATTTGATACCAGAGAGCAGGAAGGTGACAGGACATGAGGGATGCAACTTCAGTCCCCAAGGGGGAAGCATAAATGCCCTATAACCTGATTTGATTGACAAGACGGCTTGTGTGATAAGCAGCAGGACTACATTTAGTTTTTGTTTAAAAAGTCAGAAAATTAACTTCAGAAGGTGATGATGTTGTAGGCTTTTGAAATGGAGTAAACAGAACAAATTTTGGACTAAAACGTATCTAAACAGTCAAATTTTGGTTAAATGATGGCTGTGATGGATCAGATGAAGCCACTAAACATCAATGGACCATGGGTGCTAATCCCTCTAATGACATGTTGAATATTATTGTTTGAAATAGCTCCATTGGAACAAACTAAACTCTCCCTCAGTGATACCACATGGAATGGAAAGAGGAAAAGTAAGCGTGAGACAACACCCCTTAAACTGCTTCACTCACAGAACCTCTTTTGAAATCACTGCCTAATGAGGCTTTCAGTTGTGTATTGCTTAAAAAGTCGTTAATTATTTCAAAGTGAATGTCTGTGGTTGAATTCACACCGATTATCCTCCTTAGGTCAGTTTTAAGTCTGCTTAAATTTTTAATACATTCCATCACACAAATGAATCACTCCCACCCTTTTCCCCGCACAAGTCTATGAAGTGCTCCGATTAATAATTTAGTTTTAAGGCCAAATACATAATCCACATAATCCAAAGGACGCCTGACATCCAAGGACATTTGTGGTTTTGAAGTTAATACGATATAGAAGATTGATTTAGCAGGAAAACAGAGTCGTTTTTATATGACTCTTAAAGGCTGCCAAGATCAAACAAAGATGATATCAGCCTTCTAATCAGAAATAGTCGGTGACATCGCATTGCGTAGCATCTGAGGAGGTTTCTTGAGAACTGTCGGCTTTAAAACACTGATCTCAGCTTACAATGGCCAGTGTGCTCGGTACTCTATGACACCATGACCTCAGTGCAATGCGTGACCTTTGGCTGCTATCTGCGGCTCATGTTGCCGTCTGTGTATATTTGTACTTCAAGCGAATCGGAGTACGCTCCGGAGACAGAGACGGAAAAAATGCTCCGATGTTATTTCTGTGATGTGTCAGTCTCGCTGCACTGCAGAGTCATTACTGTGCATGGAACCGTCATGCGCACCTTAACTTTGGCAGAGCGGATGAAAAGACAAAGAAATAAACAAAGACACGGTAGAGGATATAGGACCACGTTTAATGGCAATACACCGCAAAAAAAACTGTCAACACTTCAAACATGTCATTCAGTGCTTCAGTCTGTCTGTGAGGTTGTCAAAGTAGTGCGATAACGTTTTGTGTTGTGCAACAACAACAATATGGGTTTCCTAGCAAGACTCAACAGGAAGACTTATCAAATGAAATGTGCACGGCTGAGGAATAAATATGTCACATTGGACAGTTTTCCACTTTTGTCCCTCAGGCAGCATCCATTTCAAACTTACAGTATGTTAACCATAGGTTTTTATATTTTAGGCATTAAGGCAAAAATACTTTGCATTTGTAAACAAAATTCCATTCCAAGTTTCTTTAGTGTCCCACTACCGTAAAGTTTTTTGTCCTTCATTAAAGACATAACAACACATGGAATTCACAAAAGCTAAATTCATGGCAGTGGGGTTAGACAACAGCCGACACTCACAACAACAACGAATAGTGTATTATAGGACTGATTGAATAAATCAGAATATAACACCACGTACACTATCAACAGGACAAGAACAAAGTAATTACAGATCACATACAAAACATATACTGTGTTTTAGTGTTAGAGTGATCACAATGTTGTTGTAGAAATGGGGTAATAACTGACTACTGTTCTATTACCTAGCACACGTTTCACATAATGCATAAAAATATCTGTAGTATTTGTGTAATCACTTTCTCCTTGTATGGAAACACTCGTAAATTGTACCCTTTCATTTGATCAAAACATGTACTAATCTATAAACTCACACAGTGACACACAACTTCAACAGGAGACTTGTGTTTTTTTTAGTTTTTTTTTATACTTGTTGGCTTATTTTGGAATCATGAAAAGGCACTTCACTTGAAAGCAGATCAGAATGAACTTTTGTGGCATAATCAAAAACGGTGCAAGACCAAAAGTAGTCCGATGATAAAGAGGGCACTGGGTTCCTGCAACACTACCGAGAGGGAGACAACTGCACTCAGAAAGATGACGGATGGCATCAGATTCCTGTTTGCGTCATGCTCAGACTGGATCTCAGAACCCTCTGACAACGTGTTCGGTGGATTCTCGAATAATAATGTGTCGGGGGAAATCTGGGGAGCATCTTCCTTCTCTTCCCAGGCTGAGGAAGACTGGAGCGCTACGCTTTGCCCCACGTTCTCTGTGAGTTCACCTTCTTCTCCCAGAAACGCCTCACTCTCTGCCACGGGGGACAAAAGCTCAGCCGTACTGCCTTCATCATTTGCTGCAGACCTGGTGGAGCCTTCTGATAATCCCTCAACAAGTTCGCTCAATCCCACTGCGACCTCGCGCTCAAAGCCTTGAGTCACAGTGGGAGAAGCGACGCACTCAGCGGGCAGTTCAAGACAAGGATGGATGACTGGGCTGTCGGTCGAGCCGTCCTCGCCTGTTGTTGGCCACAGGTTTGTCTCTGTGGTAGGAAGATGAATGCACGAGGCCTCAGAGGGAGGGATTTCCTCTCCGCCCGCCTGGGAGCTGTCTGATCTCGGCCTTGACTCGTGTTGCAAAGAGGGAGTTGAAGCCGGCAGCAGTGCACAGGGACTACTGTCTACGGGCACCTCTGACGCTTGGTTGCCTAATTCACAGTGGAGTCTGGGTAAAGGCTGTGACTTATTTGGCTGGACCGATTCACTGGCACAGAGTACAAAGGATGAATTAGTTTGAAGTGTGGTTCCGGAAGACATGTAAGGGAATTGTTCACCTGGGGATACAGTGCGAGCGGACAGTGTGCCATCAACAGATGGAGGCTCTTGGTTCGGTGGGACACTGGGACCAGATGGGTGAACCGCAATCTGTTAAAGTACAACAGCGAGACGACAGTGACACTTAGGAGAGTATATAGACAAAGGGGAGATATTTGCATTCCACATTAGCGTTGCACGCAGAGAAAACCATTTTACTGCATACTAATGCTTTTCTGTGAAATGGATCCCATGCCGACAATGTAATTGTGAGGAAATGCAAACAAAACAGGCACAGTATGATGGGATTGACTTATGCACAACAAAAAATATTGGCAAAAATGTACATTTGAATGCTTAGACTTCCCTTGTCGTGAGTACAAACGGTGTAAAGAGATAGTCCAAAGATAGTTTCCTTTAACTGAAGTCGTTTAAGCACAAGTGCATCCAAGGGAGAAGAAAATGAGCTCAATGCCCAGAAGACCAAGTGCAAGAATAAGAGACATAAAACAAAAATAACAGAAGGGCTAAGATAGTGCATGTATATGTTAAGGCTTAATATCATATTATTCTCATGTTTCCAGATGAAAATCCAGCTTGACCCTGTATCACCTTTTGAGGGGAAAAACACTACAGAACTGGAAAAGTGCACTCAGTAGAGTGCAGATGTTTGCCAGGTGTGTCTGCAACGACCACTGCTGTAATATCTTATTGAAGGGATACAAACCGTCTAGAGATAAGACGCGTTTTTTCACTCACACGTCTCACGCAACAGATATGCTGTCGTTTAAATCTGTGCAGGACTCGGCTGTTAATTAGTTAGTCATTTGCTAAATTATAGCTAGTTAGTAATTTGCCAAGCAGTAGCGAACACATTATTGTTCCCAGGACGATGGGACAACATTAGTCTCGACCTCTGTTTTAACAACCACTGTTTTGGCTCACCGGCCAAGGGGACTGGTAAATGAAAAAAATCCACCGGCCAAGCATATTTTTTTACCATCCACAATATTGAATTGCCTTTTTTTGTGTTACATATACATTTGTTTCAGGATATTTCATTGAGATAATAAGTTATGTTGAATACAAACTTAGAGAAGAGGCAAGAGCAAAATCCTAAGCAATTGCTCATGGGCGATATCTATTTAAAAAAAAATATCTGCTACCTTCATAGCTGTTTCTGCTAACTTCATACTCTCTCTAAACCGTACACTTGCTAACGTTAAGCACACTGTGCATAAACTACGACCCAGAGAGCAGAAGACAGCAGCAGCGCTCCTGTAAATGACACAAAGACTCTCAGTGTAACCTAGCATAGTTTTTTATTACATGACTATATTGATACAAACGTTTACCAGTGTGGCACATAGCCTTCCGAGATTTACTCGCCAAACAGAAAATCGACCTGCATTTGGTGCTTGGCAAGTGTTGGACAGACCCTGGATGTAGTATTTGAAGGGTCCAAAATGAAGCGGTCGTTGACCACTTGCATCCCTTAACCGGTGGGTTAAGAGTAGTGATGAGTCAGCAGTCAATGGCGGTTTAATATGTTTTTTGAAAGTGTGAATCGCTGCAACCACTTGAGGTCCTTGAGCATACGGTCATAAATAAGCACAAAAAATATTAGGCTGATGGGTCCAGTAGTATGTGAGATTAGCCGTGGACAGACATTCAGATATGCTCACACACACGCGACCGAACACAATCTCCTGGCAGAGATAATTACAACAATACTGATTTAAATATACATGTATGATTTTGTGTGCTGCCATTTTTGTTCTTGGAATTTTATGTTTCATATATTTACACCATAAACTTTGTCTCAAGAGGGCACTTTGTGTAAATCTCAGAGAGAAATCTATTAAAAATTGTTTTTATAGCACCACCAATTGAGTGAAAAGCTAAAAGGAAACCAAACTTTTGCGCACAAGTGAACCATTAAATAAGCGGATCCTGGTAATTACACTGACAATAATTTAACTTCAGAATGAATTTGTCAGGAATGATTAAGTCTGAATGTTTAACCCCTGAAAAAATATTCTTAAAATATACTGGATGATGTATGGAGTAAGGAAAACATTTACTGATTGGAAGGAGCTGATGTTCAGCAATTTAACTGGTTCATCTTTAATTTGAATGCTCTACCAAAAGGGAAAGAACATGCATGTGAATACTGATGTAAAACAAACATGATGAGTACATGCCTAACAGATATATGTGTAGTAGTATCAGTAAAACAATATAACCAGATCACATGTTAATACTCTGTCAGTAGGTGGAATCTGTTTTTACTGACTGAGGTAGTTAAATCAGTGTCATGTCGACTGTCTGTAACTTCCTTTTCTTCTGAAAAACAAATTTCTTCCAGTCTGATATGCTTTATGTATGGAACCCATCCAAAATCAACTTTTGTTTTCCCAAAATGCTAACGTAAGCCCCCAGGTAATCCCGGTTTTAAGCAGCTCAACAGTTCTCTTTTCCACTATGTTGAGCAACACTGAAACTAATTTACTCACATGTGGCAATTCTACATTTAAGGGAAATGTGCCTTTTTGCTTTCTTGCCAAGAGTTAGATGACGATATTAATACCACTTCCATGTCTGTTCATTAAATATGAAGCTGCAGCCAAGAGGCGGTTAGCTTAGCTAAGCATAAAGACCGAAAGAGGAGACTCCATGAAGTTAAAGTAATGATCTCGATGAATAAATGTCTGTTAAGGCACATGAGGCACACTGTATAGATATAATGTGCTTACTTTTCTCCTTTGGATGGAGTCAAGCTAGCCGTTTCTCCTGCTTTCAGTCTTTATGCTAAGCTAACCTTCTCCTCCAACTTCATAGGGGCAGATATGAGCATGGTATTTATCATCTCATCTAACTCTCTGCAATGAAGCGAATAAGTGTATTTCCCAACATGATAAACTATTCTTTTAAAAAACAACAGGGCTGCGTGTGGTCTGAAATGAATTTCAGTAACATTTCAATGCAAGTGATACAAACGCCTCGACAACAGCACATCTTCAGTCATAATCACAAATAATGTAGACATATAGACATGCTTACTCATGGTGTGAATGAATGAAAAATCCGAAGGTGCAAAAACCTGAACCGCATGCGTCATGATATGAATACAATAAGAAGGACAGATAGCATACAGTACTCGTGCTACAGCGGTGAGAAGCGAGACATTACCTAAGTTGTTGCTGAAGCTTCAATGAGCTGTGAACAATATAAACAACCAAGCCAGTGATGATGAGCTTTAAAAGTTGACCAGAAATGTTTGTTACGTTTCATTAGACTAAAGGGATAACGCACTTAACCTGCTTACCTGTTAATCGGGAATGTGTCAACAACTGCATTCAATTCAAGATCATTTTTCGTCTTTTTTTTCTTCTTACACTTACCTCTATGTCAATCTCCGGCTGTACGATGATTGGGCAGACGCATGTAGGTCTGACAAGTCCAGTCCTGGAGGTCCGTGCTTCTTCTGCTGATGTAAAATAGATAATTACACCGTGAGAGCCTGATTAGTTTAATTAAAAGGGTCACTCACCAGACAAAAGCATTCGCGTCATGCCTTCTGTGCCTCAGATTGGATCTAGTGTTTGAGACTTAAATCTTTCCACAGAAAAGCTCGATTACATACCGACCATTTCCAGTATGAGGCAGGGGAATTATACCGAAAGACATTATACTGAGTGGCACTATGGGAAATGTGTGATTGAGCATTTTTAATCCCCAACTTCATGGATGGGCAATACTGGCAAATTAGCCCACCACTTCAAGTAGAGTGATCACTTCTACGTCCTATGAAATGCAATCATCTTTAATTGTCCATTATGTTAATGTTTAATCATTTATGTCTCAGCTGTCTCAGATAACGAATTGATATGTCAAAGGTGATTTTGGACGACAGCATTCACGCTGTACCTTCGTCCTTTTCCTGCTCGTCTTCTGAATCGAAATCATCATTCATACTGAAAGAAAAGAGAAATTTGAGTTATAAAACAATATATATATAACATTAAAAATGAGACAAAATTCAAAAAGTACATCCTTATAATGTCACACACAGATCTAGGGCCTAGAACATGAGGCCTAATAATAATTATGCATTAGAGTCTACTATTAGAGTCGTTGATGCAGTCGGTGAGACCTTTGAAATAAACCAAGACAACGGCTTTGCAGCCAAATCCTCCACAAGATTACCGAGACAGTTTTGTATTGACGACTCGTCTTTGGCTATAAAAGCAGCATCTGAATCAGCCGACAAATGCAGTGAGCGTGTCTGTGAAGAAAGAACACCAATTTAGGCCCCGAAATTGAAAATAGTATTTAATATATAAAGAAGGCCCATTCTAAATGGTGGAAGAAGGAGGTCAGGCACCATCGTCTGCACCTGTTACAGATAATTAGGCTTAATATTTGCTGATGCAGTGTGGCTGGTAATGTGCTGAGTTAGCCATATTCAATGAATATGGCTAAGTATCTCTTTGCACTGTATTGTATGTTTTGCACAGTTCTGTTTCTGAACTGCTGCACCGGCTGAGCGGCCCAAAGGCCTCAGTGATTAGACACCTCGTTAGAGTGTTTGTTTAAATAGACGGCAAGGTAGGAAATTACCGAGTGAGGTATTGTGGACTGAGGGGTCATTGAAAAGTGCAAGCACAATATAAGTCAGTATATATATATATTCTATATTGGAGTTAATGTGTGAAATATAATTATATTGACATTGGGCTAAATGCCTCTCTTCGGCTGCCCAATAACATAAAATACACGTCCTTCTAACACCCATCACGTGATTTCATATATACTGAAATCAGACCCTAAATATTGACAAATTGATGGGAGAGTTGATACAATTCAGCCATGATTCATTTTAAAAATAATCTGCAAACTCACAGCTCAGAAATGTTTCCTATAAAAAGGCGCTCCTGTTGAAAGAGGGGGTGTTGCAACATTGCCAAAAGTCCTTTAAAGGATGCCAAATGAACTAAAGGTCAAGAAGTGTGACGAGCATGCGACAGCAGCTGGAAGAGCTGTTCATACTCCTTGTGCTTATTGTACGTCCACTTTTATATCAGTTAAGTAGATTTAAAATCTGATGTGGACCCGACAAAGATCTTGGCGTAAACCTCATATGCAGTCATCAAATGTGAAGCTCTGCACATCCTGTAAACACGTTTTCAAGCTCTATTGTAGCAACCGCGGCATCCTCAACAACAATTACAATAGCAAGAGAATGTCCTTTTTGGAAAAAACTGAATTTCTAAAAGAAGACCTCAAACTTTTTACATGGTTACATGCAAGGTTACATTAAAGGTGTCAGGCTGACATGTAGCTTTGTAGGCACACGTCTGGTCCAAACCAAAACTTCAGACCCCTAGTGTGACCTGAGCCTGATGTTCTAAGGGAAAACAGGGTTTGTTGTGATTGTGTGTGCAGGTGTGTGATAAAAGACTGATTTAGATACAGGTTACAACATTAGTTTGCCTGAGCTCTACTCGATCTGGAGGTTGTGGCCCCGGTCGCACCGCAAAAATTAGCAGCAAGTTGATGCAAAAAAAAAAAAAGATTAAGACTGAGTCAAAACTCATAATCGCTGAGTCATCGACGCAGAAAAACAGCATCCTCCCTGTTTTGGTCTCAGTATTCACTATCAGCTACAGTAATGTGTGACACCTGTGTTTACCTGAGGGGAATACACCTCGGTTAAATATCTAAACCAAACTGAACCTACTAATTCATATCACCTGCAAGTGTCTACACTTGTTTCATCCCGCAGTAACCTTTTGTCCCACTGGCTGCCTTGTTGATGCGTTCAAATCTAATTACCAGTGTACTTCAAAGCACCTAATGAATCTATGATGGTTGCTACGGTGGGGATGTCGACACGGTTTCTTCTCCCCAAACTCCCCCATTTTCCGATCGGTGACTCATTCATCTCAACCCATCTGGCCCCTTCCAGCTTCCAAACAGACCTACATGACAACTACATCAGTGCACCCCCTGTTTGCTTCTTTCATGGGTCCTTATAAGCTGGAAGGGGGGAGGGTTTATTTTTCCTGCTGTCCTCCGTCTCTTGTCACTGCACATATAGTGAGATTCATCACACAATTTCATGTTGATGTAACAATAAAAGGCATTTCATTCTTCCTCTCAGGGATTAGCTGATTCAAGTGATGTAAATAAAGAAGAGAGGTGGATTGAGTGCAAACTACTCAAGGGAAAGAAGCCAATCTGTTGCAATGAAATTGCTCCTCTCCCCTATGACTCTGATAGAAAAGGTCAGAGGTACATTTAATGGGGGCAGTGAAACGTCAGGCCTGAAATCGACACCTGCCCTTTTGCCTATTTTGATCGCCCTCAGACACCACTGGATGATTGGCATTCTGAAGGGGGTGTGTGCACTCTTTTCCAAAACTCTTTATATCTCTCACTGCAGCTATAAACAAACAGAACTCGGTAGCTTTGACACTCACCCTTGTGCTCTCATTATGCAACCGACTGTGTAACTGTGTTTATCAAGATTCAGCACGTCTTACTACGCTGAATGCAATCGCCAGGCAGAACTCCTGAATAAAGCTGAATGCTCATTTCAGCAACAAAACCCTCAGGGAATTAGTAGGCAACTGCAGCTGTTGCACAATCCCAACGTCAACTGCTCTTGTGACTCATCTCTTTGTGATTTTGACGGCTAATATGGAACCTATGCCAAAGTTAGGGCTATTTATTAGATACCAGGCTCTGAAAGTATTATCGTTCTGAAATTATTGTGACTTTGAGCGTCTTAATTTTTACACCTTCAAACAAATTGAGGTTTTACCAATTATGATAAATAGTGAGCAGATCAATCTGTGGTTGTCAAAGGTCAAGGGAATCTCTTGACAGTTGCCAAAATATTGCAGAAATGGTGTGTTAAATATGCATCCGTTGGTCTGACAAATGAAAGCATCCCGTGTGACAGGAGGAACTTTACCTGTAAGCCTTTGGAGGTCTCAGGATGCCTCTGACCTGCTGCAAGTCGTTGTTAGTCTGAGCCGAGTCGTCTTCGTAGGACTGGAGCAGAGTGACCACATAATTCATAGAGGAGTTATTGGCCCAGTAATCGCCATCAGAGGTTTCATAGCGGACAACAAACTCAATGCGAGAGCCGTGTGTGGTATAAGGTGGTGCAAAAGTCAGCTTGAAGGAGAATTGATCAGTGCTGCCATCATGAGATCCCTGGACATACTCTGCTGGGTGATCAAAGTAAGTAGCCCAGTGGTCCATGGTGGATCTGATATAAACTGCCTTGTGGAAGGAGATGTTCAGGACCCGTATCACCCCACAGAAGGCCAGTGGCTCATCCTCTGCTGGAGACATCTGCTCAACCTCCACTTTATTCAAATGCACAGCTTGTAGCAGGGCACTGGCGGTGGGTGCGTGAAACTCTGGCTGCACATGATAGCTCGGTTCTTGCAGGGGCTTTCGATACTTTGCCTCCTCTTCCTCCCACCTTGCGCTCTCCTCTTCATCGTCCGATTCGAAGGCAACAAATTCCTTCACGTCCACCAGATCCCCACCTGTTGTGTCGGCGAAAAACACTCTTTTCCCGGCGGGCAGCGCCAAATGGATCTGCATGTACTCGGCGGTCTCATCGTAGATAGAGTGGCCTCGCTTTCTGGGCACCGGGGAGGATCTCGGTATAAGGCGGACGTCCTCGGCGTTGTCGTCTTCATCATCATCATCCTCATCATCAATATAGTCGCCGTCGTCCAAGTGCCTGTCTGACGCGTCGGCTGATCTGTCGCTTTTAATCGTGGTGAACAGGCCCTCTTGACTTGGTATGGATAAAAAAGACATATTTGCAGAAGTGTACAGTCATGGAACCTGTGCGCTGAAGAAAGTATTATCGCGTCTCCAAAAACAAAAAAATACACTACCAAATACTCATTGTTTGCGCAGCAGTGCCGAGTGTAGATCCTGCTCGATCGCTGCGTTACGACCTCTGTAGTCAACGTGTGGCGTTAAATGTCACCCATGGAAACATGTCTTTACTGCCAGCCCTTGTGATAGTGTATCCCCTGGTTTACATGACGTTATGCATCGCAGTTTGGCTGCTGTCGCGGAAGGAGCAGCCTCTAATTTTAGCACTGACCTACAGGGCTCTCCGTGCCCCAAATGTGTCTTTTAAATTGGTATAATCCTGCGACTCCCCCTTGTTCTGTTTGGTTTGGGCTGGCAGAACGCCCACTACTGGAAAGTGGATATTAAAGTGATATCAAGCCAAATGACCTTCTCATATCCAGTCTATGGGTATGGCACATTTTAAAATTGATGTATAGACACAATCAGTATATATTAAAACCTCTGCAAACACCATCAGGTGGAAATTATTATTGCAGGATAGAATTTCTATTTCATCACCTTAGACTCTCATGGGTAAAGTCCCTAAAGGAAATTAAATAATAAACACACTCATTTCAATCAATATTGTATGAATATGTATGTGTTACAAAACAAAAGACCGAGCTGTATAAACCTGATTAGGAGGCTACAGTTGAGTGCGTCCACTTCTGGGAATAAACATATTATCTAAATCATCACACAGACGAGTGTTTACGGCCTGTCGCCTCCATTGAAAGCCAATTGTTTACATTTTGGGCTTGTCATTTCAGGGTATTGAACCATAAATGTGATTAATTAAAATGTGCCACATTTTTATAACGTCTGCAAATATAATCTCACAGATAGGACGTTGTAAAATGTGATGAAGTCATATGATGCACAGTGTGTTTGGATGTGTTTCGGTAAATGTATAAATTATGTTTTACATCCAGTGACGTTAGGATTATCTCTGCTGCACTAACTCGCTGCGCAGTTATACCGCTGCTACATGTATTCTCATCTAAACACACCCTTGTTTGTGATTGGTGGAGAGGTTTTAGCGCGGCGCGTCGTAGCCAATCAGAGGATTGTTTTTCTGTAACGTCGGTGCACGGATAGTAAGCTAACGGATATTGCAAACATAAACTAATATAAAGAACACGGGTTCTTTATAAAGGCGTTTTTTTTTTAGCAGAGACCGGTTTTGCTATTTGGACCGAGTCTTTTTTTGTTGGACTTTTATTCGTGATATGTGGTGCGGCCATCGCTGTGAGGACACACGACTTGGGTAACGTTAGCTAACTAACGTTAGTACTAGCCTGCTAATTCCTTTAACGTTCCGCAAGGCCGCGGAGAAATACAAGAGCTGCTTCCTGTTCTCGCTCCTTTGAGGATGTAGGTTACATCACGATCCGAGTTACGAAATTGCAAGCAGCCAGATCGCTGGTGTAATCGATTGCATCTAAGTTGTGTTTTAGTTGTGCTTGCGGACTACCTAGCTTGTTAGCTATTTGGCTAGCTAGCCAGCATGAGTGAACTGACGGGCTGCAAACAGTCCGCTGACTCTGCATCGAGGAAACGGTGTGCATCACCCGACCACGATGAAGGCAGCACGATCCCCAGCAAGTCCACAAAAGTAGCCGACGCATCAGACGAAGCGGGGGTCACTTCGGAAAGTTGCAGAAACAGTGAAGCCGAGAGTAAAGAAATAGCCGGGAGCGAGGGCCAATCAAAAGATTGTGAGGGAAAACCAGCTGCCGTGCAAGCGGATCAGGGTTCAGACAGCACGGAGGGCACCAGTGCACTGCCTGTTAACAACTCCAATGTTGATGGTCACGACGCCAGCAACACAGAGAAGCCACAGTCCTCGGATGCACGTGGATCTGCCGACGCAAAGGAAGGTACTGCGAAGACAGCAGGGACAAAGCAGCGTCCCTCGGCGTCCCTGGACCAGACCGACTCAGCAGCCATCGCAGCTGCCGAAGCACTTGCCAGTCTCACTGGAGGAGACGGAGAAGACAGTCAAGAGACTCCTTGTTCATCCGAAAAGGCGAAACAGGTGAAACAGGGGAGCAAGTTCAAACAACGTGGGAGCCACCACTCCTCAAGAACGGGCTCTAAAACGCAGGCAGCTGCTGCAGACAGCTCCACATCTGTGCACAGCACTGACAGAGAAGATGCAGATGAGATGCCAGAAGCGGATGATGGTGATGAATCTATATCTGGATCTTCCTCCACTCCAAGCTCTTCTTTCCCTTCAGACAATGAGGACAATGATGATGGGGAGTGTGCCATTGTGTCGGTCAAGATGGCCCCAGAGATGAGACAGTCAGTGGCTCTCCTGGCGCAGGTACAGATGAGACTGGAAGCTCTTGAGAAGAAAAGCGCCCGACTTCACCAACGGCTGGAGCTGAAGATCAGTCGTCAGCGGCGTCCACATCTGGATCAGCGCAGCTCCATCACAAAAACCATCCCTGGCTTCTGGGTGACAGCTGTATCCTTGACATGAAACATGGCCCTCTTTTTCCCTTTCCTATGTTGTGTTTTGAGTCATTTAAATAAACACATGTTGTTTTTTTCTTAACTTCAATGTGCCAGCTGTTGAACCATCCTCATCTCTCGGCTCACATTGACGAGACCGATGAAGACGCTCTTAGTTACATGACTGATCTTGAGGTAGGAAGTGTCCGTGTGTTCTCACAATGTTCTGATCTTGTACGTGCCTAGTAGCGAAATTTTGACATTTCCTGATGTCTTTTACAGATCGAGTCCTTCAAGAACAATAAACTGGGCTACAGGATCCGCTTCCACTTCAGACGGAACCCGTATTTCCAGAACAACATCATCATGAAGGAGCTTCACCTCGGGATGGGAGGTAAGAAAAATAAATGTGGTGATTACGTAAAGGCATAGCACTGGAACTCTAACTAAGAAACTCCAGTTCACACTGGGTTTCAATGTGCCAGCTGTTGAACCATCCTCATCTCATCATGTAAACTTAAGTCTTGTTTCTCAGCTAGACTGTGTGGAACATTTACAGATTAGCTTGTTCCACTTTACTTGACCTACTTTAAGTTGCAGCTTTGAAATATGTTTCAAACTCGTGTTATAGGTCTCATCGCTGCACATTGTGCAATGTGGTTGGTTGGTCTGTACGTGGTATGTGCAGGATGCAGTGTTGTTATATTTAAATGCACCACGCCATTTTAGGCAGGTTACCTATGTAAATACCGACAATCTTAGGTTTAATATTGGCTTGTCTTTAAGGTGCCACGTGTGTGGACTGAGACTTGAAAAAACAGTGTATTTTATTATGTCCCTTATCTCGGAATGATCTGTAGGCCTCATCTCGCTATCCAGTTGTAAATGAAAGTTATCAGAAGTTGTAACCACAAACTGTTGCAACAACGCCGAACAATTTTGTCATGTCTATATGCATCATACACTATATGCGTCTATTTAACCACTTCTACTGACGCGGGGACTTTTTCCCCATTTTGTTTTGGTTTTATTGTTTGTATAAAAATAATGTCCGTTCGACATTTAGCTATGCTGCCTTCTAGATCTCCCAAAAAATAAAAATAGCTGGCATACATAATGAATCCACAGTGTTTGTTAGACTTGTATATATTGTCATATGCCATGTATATTTAGTTTTTCATTTGGTGTAAAACAGGTTTAACAGCAGGTTAAACATTAAGTTTGGTCCAGGGTACATTGAGTCATAGGTTTGAATAAAAAGAACAACTCATTCCTGGGAACAACTGCTAAAAGGTACTGAGAATGACGAGGACATGGCCAGAAAAAACACTGCCAAAGTTCAACAAAATACCCACCCAGGGTGACCAAACAGTTAATGCTACAATAAACTGTGACGTTGTTGCAATTGTTCATTTGTTGTGTTGTCTATGTTTGTAGATACGGATGGACACACTATTTAATTATTAATATTTCACAAACTTAGCATGGCAGGGCTGTTGCATTACATTATGCACATTACCAAATGTGCCATTGGAAGATTTTTATCAAACAAATTCTTCACGCTTCAGGGATGTTTAGATTTTCACCTCTCAGACCGACTGAGCGTTCTCTGCTAGTACTTAATATTTAAAGTTCAGTATTGATCATATTTTCAGGCTACCTAAAAACCTACATGGCCATTAAATTCTGTCTCTGATCCTGGCTGCTGGTGTTTTAGGATCTCCCATGTCGTTCTCCAACCCCATCCTGTGGCAGCGTGGACAGAACCTGACGGCCCACAGCGAACCCAGGAAGTCGTCGCGTGGAGTCTACCAGACCTTTTTCAGCTGGTTCAGTGACCACAGCAACCCAGGGCAAGATGATGTAGCACAGGTACAGCTGACTGCACCCTCATACTGACACAGGCTGATGATTGTAGCACACAGACCGGCAGATCGGCTCTGGTGACATTCCTTTATCAGTGTTATGATGATGCCTTTGTAACATTTTATCTCACTATTCAACCATTCATTGCAATCATGTGCCACATATGTGCTGGAAGTTTCAATGGTTTAATAAAGTGTAATTTCTTCTATGCACACATTCACATTTTTGACGAAAGAAATATGTGTTTTTTTAAGCAACACTACAATGATACTTCTTCCATGTGTACATTAGCTACATGATACTCAAACCTTTGTCTCAAATTAGCAGGACTGTGTATGGTGTGTATATGAGCACATATGTCCAAACATATTAAATATAAATAACCCCCGTACTATTATTTAGATCCTTAAGGACGACCTGTACAGAGACCCTCTGAGATACTACCTTACTCCACTATGGGAACCGAGGGAGAACGGCAGGTAAGACAAAGAGATTCTCATACGTGTAAACGGTGTAATGTGCAGTCGGTGGACAAACCGCTTATTAAGCTATAAATTCTAGAAATATTCTCAGCCCCAGGTCCTTCAAATTATAGTTCATGTGTAAACTCCAACAGTTTCCTGCCTACACCCCCCTCCCCTTTCCCCCCCCGCTGGTGAGACCAGGTGGGATGCATACCGAAACAATGAGAGTGTCTCCTGTTAACACGAATATGTGTGTGATTTCATTTTATTTTCTCCAGTGGTGGCAGCAGCGGGGCCAGAGCAGCTGACAACGGTAATGGAGATGAGTGTGTGGTGATCTCCGACTCCGACGATGAGCCCGGTGAGGAAGCTGGTGAGGCGGAACAAGGCCGCAGTAAGAAGAAGAAGGAGGAGGAAGAGGAGGACGAAGAAGAAGAAGAGGAGGAGGAGGAGGAGGAGGACGAAGAAGAAGAAGAAGAAGAAGATGACGACGACGACGAGGAGAAGCAGCAGCAGCAGCAGCAGCAGCCGCAGCAGCCGCAGCAGCTGCAGCAGCAGCAGCCGCAGCTGCAGCAGCTGCAGCAGCAGAGGGGACCAAGCGCTGGTCAGTGCTAATGTAAACTTTAAAAGACCGCTCAAACCGTACTGGTCCACACGGCTGGTTTGGGTACAAAAAAATGATATAGATATATTTGTATTTTTTTTTTTTTATAGCTTAGTTCAGCATATTTTGAGAATAAAGGTAGCTGTTGTAAAATGATTTAGTTTGAAATCCACCGTGTTTGCTGTTGAGGCCAAGGGCTAGTTGGCGTCAGGTTGACTGGCTTGTGTTGCAGCTGTAATATCACTGTCTGGGTAATGCAGGCTAAACTAAATAGACAGGAAATATCTCCTCCTCAGATGAGAGTCCAGAGGAGGAGGAGGAGGATGGTGGAGAAATTGTGATTGACGGTAAGACCACTATCACAACAAACAATCAGTGGGGGTGGTTGGAAACCTGTGTGGGGTTGACTGCTCAATCTTTGTTGATTATGCTGCTTTTCATTTTACAACTTGACTGTGCCATGCGTTAATGCTAAATACGTTTGGACTGATAATCATCTTTCATATCAGCAAGGATCGTTTGAAATTGTAACCGTCTCACTTCTGTCCTGTAGGCTCTGATGACAGTGAGCAGGAGGACGACGAGGCCTGAGAAGACGTGATGAAGAGGTTTATGTCAATGAAGAAGGCAAGTCATCAAGGGACCAGAGACCAGGAAGATGAAGAGGATGCTGAGGTTGATGAACAGTACCAGAGCAATGTCATTTTTATGCACAGAATATCCGTTTTTGTTGTTTTTATACCTAAAATACATAGCAGCATTTTAAATCAGGGTTAACTGTAATAATAAAGCCACGGCAGCATGGTTTCCCCTCTATTTTATACAGTCACCATCATAATGTTTTTTTCTAAACAGGTTCTTAGGCATATTATGCCAATAGTGTTCTTCTATTTAACAAGGAGCATCATGCAACAGCCTGCACATACATAGGCGACATCTTGATTGCCACTTCTTGTCGGCATTACATTTTGCATTTGCAAAATCTTCAAGCGAGCGATGCGGAAGCCTCCAGTGGCGTTGTTTAGTGGTCATTTCAAGGCAAAGTTTTGGCTGTTTTTAGAATTGACGTGACGAGCTAAATTGATACTAATGGCAGTACTTTTTAGATGCACCGAGTACTGAACCAAAATTTGTTCTCAGGGATGATCATGATTTTATTGAAAGAACCGTAACTGATTTTAGACATTTACACTCTCTGGGTATTGTTGGCTGTGCATAAGGAAACGTGTACTCTACTGTAGTAAATAGGAACCAATATTGTTTTTAGTATGCTGCCAGTGTTTCTCCTTCATCTCTATGTTCAGTCGTGTTTCACACCAAACCTCCACCCCCTGTTAACAACCTGTAAACCATCGATGAAGTTTAAAATCATGATGTAGTTTGACCAGTGTTTCTGTGGTTTCCTACATTTTGTAACACTCCTACAATAAATAGCTGACTTTTGTATCATTGTTTTCCTCTTTAGAATTTAACTTAATTTGAGTTTCCTTCTTAAAACCTTTAAGATTTGTTTTCATGTAATGTGTTTTACGATTTGTGTTATCTTCTTTTTAAAAAGATGGTATTTATTACGTTGTTTTTCTACACATCCACATTATGGCATGCCTGTGAGCATGAAATGTAAGACCATACGATTACATTACTTACAAGGCTTTTAATGTGCACAGTGTCAGTAAATGTCTAATTCACAGCAACATTATGGGGTGCACTGTAAAAAAAAAAACTAGTATTTGTATTTGCTTACTTTTCTTAGCAATGACCTGTAAATAATATTTCAGCATTGTCTTTTGGATAAGACGAGTACACGTGTTTAATCCATGGATAAACTTATCAAATAATCTGAAGTTTTTTCATAAACATGATCAGAAAGTTATATTTTGTGTGCTGTGTTTTATAGAACACTAGTTTAAATATACCTACCTGATTGTTGCTTTGGTTTATTTTGTTTGCTTGAAGATAAATGTCCACCTTTTGACTCAGACCTAATAAAATAGGCAGTTGTTTCACCTTGCCGTCTCGGACTACACTTCTGCATTCTTTGCACAATGAGCTTGTTTTTCTTCTTCTGCATAACAGAACCACATGATGGCAGTGCAGTTCAGAATATATCACATCTCATGCTGGACTGTAGCTGTTTATTTTGGTTACGAATGAAAACAGTATATCATTTAGTACTTTAATTGCCAGTATTAAAGCTTTCAGATGTGCTTAAATGAGAAAATAATTAAATACTGCATATACACAACTGTCTCAAATCCTTGGAACTGCTACAAAGAAATCACACGTGTGGAATTCATTCATTAAACGTCACCTCTTTCATATGATTGGCTGCAACATGTTCTTGGAGAAAAGAATCCAGCAAACCCCAGTGAGATACAGCTGTTCTTTAATGTATTCCAGCTTTGATATGACAGCAGTGTGTGATATCTGACATTTCGAGTGTAGCACTGCAAATAGCCCCCGGCAAGACATTTTTGGACAGGCCCAGACAAAGGAGCAGCAGCGGTGTTGCAATGGTACACTTAAACCCTTGATTCCACTTTTAATGCACAGCTATAAATATTCCACTAGCAAAAACCCGTCATGCTGTAGGCCCAGCAGCACCCAGGGTATGCGGTCTCAGATGGGCATATACTATTAATACTGATGATGGAAACACGTTATACCCCGTGTAATGATCCCATGTGAAACACAGTGTTTGTCTCCTCTTTGAAGCAGCTTTATCCAGCCCACCACGCAGCACAACATGTTTTTTATGACTATGAATTAATAATAGGGTTGGTTCCTACAATATTGATCGTGACAAACTAAGTACAGATTGCTGGGACAACAAAGCCATCCTTGGGCTGCTTTGCGGTCTGAGGGTTGTCTGTGAAGCCTTTGTTATGTATGTGGTGACAAAAGCCTAAATGGATTCCCCAGTGTAAACTCCACTCCCCTGGGTTGAGCTGGTGTTGCTACTGTACACAAATCATCTTGTCATGCCGCTTCATGCTCTCACGTTTCACAAAGCAGTCCAGAGGAATCTGCTACTCAGAGTGATTCACTGGAGACTTAAAAAAAAAACCGAAAAGATAACACACAGCAGCTCATCCGTCACCTGTGTGACTGATGTTGGGAAGGAAGGATATCTTTATATAAAATGTACAAGAAAAGGGTCTGTGCTGCTCTCTGAGCTACATCTATAGTGGGTAATCTGAAAGGTTGAGGAAGGGGCCTGTGAATACTAACTACCTGTGTGTGTGTGTGTGTGTGTGTGTGTGTGTGTGTGTGTGCATGTGTGCGTGGCCAGGCTTGTTTATGAAAGCTTACATTCTTTTATGCACCTCCATGTCACATACATATTTGCAGCTTTTCAACACCATACCATACCATACCTGTGATTGTCTGCTTGTCAGCTAATCAAGATTAAGCGCAGCTTTTGAACTGTGCAGGTGGGGGGTGGGATGGGGGGGGGCATCTAGAGGGATGAGAAAAGAGAATGGAGTGAGTATGATTGGGGGGGGGATGGATGAGTGCAGTGATAAGCGGAGCTGCCTGGGCCCTGACAGATACACACAGCAGATGGATGACTCTTATCTGGGAGATCACAGAGTGCATACTGACGCCTAGGCCCAGTTACTGAGAGCCACGATCACACCAGACAGATGAATAGGCCTCCCCCTCCACCACCACCACCAATCACATTGCACATACAGTACACACGCACGTACACACACGAGTGCACGCGTACACCTACACACGCAACCACTTGACAGAATGAACAGATTGCAGCGCTTGCGTTACCTTCATGTCTTTGACATTGAAATTCACCTGGAGTCCGGTGTCTCCAGGACGTGTGCAGCGAGGGGTGGGGAAGGAAGGGTGTGGGGAGAGATAAGAGAAATCGTTTTTTATTTTAATTGAGGCAGCAGAGCCATGGGTACATGGATGTTGGAGTACAGATTTGTCTGCCAGAGAGAGAGAGAGCCTCATGCACTATATTCTCACTTTTTTTCCCCCCAGCATGACAGATATTTTTTCACGGATTCTCTGAGCACAAACAATATCTGTCATAGAGGTTAAGATGGAGCTGAAGTCACACGTACTCCAAACAAAAAAAAACATTTTGGACTGTTTGTGATTTTTAACTGTTAACCGGCTATTATCGAATGCTTCTGCGTGAGCGCTGACAGATTTACCTTTTAAGACACTGTGTTTCACTCATCCGCCTCACATCCTTACTGTCCTCCTTTCCATGTACTGTAACAGTCCCTCCCTCCCTCCCTAACTCACACCCCTTGTTATTTGGAAAGAGCTCGTCTTCAACAGCTGTTGATTCTCCCAGCTGCATTTTATAGTGTGTGAGAGTGCCAGTCTTGTCTTCGAGGCAGATGGTGGCAGGCTGGCCCGGTGGACACGTGGCACAGTCGGTGCTCCATCTCAGGGAAGCTGCAGCTACAGTATGCGAGAAAACCCCAAAAAAACAACAACCTGCAAACACCTCACTTTCAATACAGCGTGAGGCGAGTGGGCTGCGACTGGAATGTGTGCTACGTATGCACCCTTCATGCCAAAGATGCTTTCCAAAGTTGCTTTCCTTTGATAGTCATTGATGTGTGAAGTCCACGGATGTCACACAGCACCTGTTCTCTTTATGTTGCATGTCGATGTTTACATTTTCTCCTGAGCTGCAGGATAATAATTCGAAGACTATGTGAGAGGTGTCGTGATTGGAGATAGAGCAAATAATCCTGGTGAATGCTACAATTTCCTCTCAGGGTCACGGTAGTCTATCCCAGCATGCATTGGCGACGCCCTGGCTTTGCCTCTCTGTAGCAGGCATGTTCAAACACTCCACTCAATTCATCAATGTACTCGAAGGAAAGACCATCAGTAGGTCAAATAATGGGTTGTTTTTCCTGGAGGGGACAATGCCCTGCCTCTAGAATTGTCATGATTGATGTGTCTGAGGGCCCCGGATTTATCCGGAGCCTGCGGTTGGCCTACAGGGATAAATGTCTAGCTCCACATTACCTATCCATTAGATGAGAAGATCTTCCTGACAGAGCTTTTTGTGGACCAGAAAAAACAGACTCAGTGTTTGCTTTCTACTCCGCGCTGTCCGTCTCCACCATTCAAAATCCATCCATCATGTCGGAGGCAAACAGGCCCGTTCGGCCACTATTTCCTGCCCTTTGTCGTCACGTTCACAGAGCAAAAATACCCGCTCCACTGGTGAGTGAAAGAGCTGTTGCTATCTCTTTAGCGAGTTGAGGCAGTGGTGGGCGCGTGCTGGTCAGATAAGAGAGCAGGATGGTACAGTACGAGATACGCATGACGTTAAAAGGAGCTTATGATGCGGTGGGAGTCAGTGTACCGGTGTCCTTGGCCAAAGTTGAGAGCACACGGAAGCCTGAACTTGGCACACACTCCTTACTCATTTCCTCCGCTGGAAACAGAGGAAGCAAAGACTCCCTCCTGGACACACTGTGGCACAGTGCTGCCTGTAGATCACACCTGGCTGATACCCAACTCGAGATAAGGTCACAGCTTACATGCATATGTCTGTGTGATGATGAATCCAACAGGAGAATGTGCATAAAAGATACATTCAAAAAGTTAGAGTTAAAATATCAGCTGCTTGCCAGGAACTGCCCACCTCTGTGACCTTTCACACAGTGACACACCACATCGACTCATGCGTTTATTCTATTTTACTGTCTTGCCGGGCCGTAGCTCAGAATACATTCATCCTCTGCTTTTGTGTCGTTAGAGCACCATACTGCGTCAGAGCTTCGCCACAAAGCCGGTGGTGATGAGAGGAGCTCAGAGAGCTGTTTTAATTTCAACCTCAAGGCTCTGTTAACAGGATGGATGTCCTTTACGTCCAGTCCCAACCCCCTTCTGGTTGCTTTGTCACCGTTGTCATGAGCTCCAGAGCCAACCAGAGAGGAATCCCAGGAATCTTCTTTTCGGCTGACCTGGCTCTCATGCAGAGCCAAGAGGAGTAACGGTGACATTGTCCGAGAGGCAGAGGCCGCCGGCTCCTCTTTAATAGTGGATTTCAGCCCCTGAATCACGCATAAGAATAGTCTGTGGCCCCTTTATTGCATGAGAAAAAACATTTATCCAAAACAGCCCATCACCGTGTAACTGACTCATTCAGCTTAGATAAACTTTGCAAACAGAAATGAACTGACATGGATGAATAACAGTTTACAGTAGAGAGAGAGAGAGAGAGAGAGAGAGAGAGAGAGAGAG